AACCATCTCTGGACTTCTGTACTGCATGGTGGTATGCTTCTGGACATCCTCGTCTAGGAGTCTGCATTCGACGACGGTCTGGGGCGCGGGTTTGGGCGGAGCAGCAGATCCAAAATCACAAAGCTTGAAACGCTTTTGTGAACCATTGCTCAGGATCAAAACGTTTTCGACTTTCAAGTCGCGATGAAGTAGCGGTGGCTTGAGGTAGTGCATACAGGCGACACCTTCTGTTATGTCGGTAAAAATGTGGAGGATCTCGGGTTCGGTCAAGCGGTGCTGTAAACGCGTGTTCATGAAGTCGATGAGTCCGCCTCCGTTGCAGAATTCCATGAGTAGAAACACCTCGTATCCCCCTCCTCGCATTTCTGATGCATGGGAATCGATGTATGTGACGATAGGGCGATGGCCCTTGAGCCTCTTCATAGTCTCGACCTCGATTCGCATGCTGCGCAGAGCCTCCTTATCGGGAACAGCGACTCTTTTCAAGACAGCCATGTCGGTGCCATCGACAGCTTTCGGGAGCTTTACCAGGTAAACGTGTGCGAAGCCTCCCTCGGATAGGTATTTCTGGATTACTACCCTGTGACCTCCGACCTGTATCTTCGTTCCGGGCGTGAAGGTGCCGGCAGGCGCCGCGGCCACAGGGGCAGGCATTGGGGCGCCATAGGTGGCAGGGTGGGCAGCTCGAGGGGCCGCAGCGGGCATATGATGGCCATAGGATGCCATGTCGGCTAGATGGCTTTGAAAAGTGTCGTCGGTAGGTATTGTGGCCGTCCGGAGTGTTCAGTCAGACCGAGAATGTCGTGGGTCAGCGGGAGGAGGTCGAGGTCGAGGTCGGTGAGATGCTAGACGGTGAGGAAGCACGGGAGTAACAGAAGAGCGAAAGTGACATTGACGAGCGTTTGCGACCCGAGCAAGGAACAATTAAGGCATTCTTGGGTGCTGATGGTATCGATGGTGTATATTGGTGTCTTGGAGGAGTTGGTTCTAGGTTGCCATCCAGTTGGACCTGAACTTGGACTTGCGTAGTGCGTAGTTCGCAGGTATGGAGTGTCCCTCGGTCGCTGTTAGTGGTGGAGCGCTGGCATAAAGGCCTTGGGAAGTCACCAAGACCCTGGCACACCCTGTTCCATGTTTCGCAATGCAGTCGGGGAAGTGTCGGGTAAATGCACCGCACATGCTGTCATTGGCTGGGCAGCTGTGCCAGAGAAGCACGCCAGACGGCACCAAGTGTGAGGCTCGTCTGATCCCGTAAAGGTTCAGGCAGAGATCCAGATTCGTTGGTGGGGTAGATTCAGCTACCCACGCCGTCTTATCGATATCAGATAACGATAACATGTTTTATCGATTCGATAATTTTTTTTTTGGTCTTTGCCTGGGTCTCGAGCCGCTTTGCGCTGCAGAGCTGCAACTTTTTTGATCTGATCTTGCACGCTAGAAAACTTACGCAGGCCTAACAAAACGACAACGAAGAAAATCAAAATGGTAGCCAAAAGAAAGAGAGTCGAGATCGTGGACGCGACTCCCGCATCCAAGGCAGCACCCTCGAAGAAGACAAAAGCAAACACCAATGGCTCTACCTCTAAGCCGTCAAAAGCGTCTAAGGCGAAGGAAACAACAACTGTGACGGGCCCCGCCGAAGAGGTGACGATACAGATTGTCACCGGCTCCTACGACCGAGTTCTCCATGGCATTACTGCGACAGTCAAGCCAGAGGGCAAGGTCGAGTTCGCTGACACTTTCCTATTCTCTGCGCACACCTCGGCCATCCGCTGCATCGCCCTATCCCCTCTCTCAGCACCCATCCCCGGCCAAGGCCAGAAGGTCCTGTTGGCGTCTGGCAGCACCGACGAGCGCATCAACCTCTACAACCTTTCGGCGCATCCCCCGAACCGCAAGAACCAGGACGCCCTCTCCGCCGTCTCCGCTCGTCCCATTCTCGAGAACCCCAAGAACAGAGAACTGGGAACGTTACTACACCACTCGTCGAGCATCACCAAGCTATCATTCCCTACCCGATCGAAGCTGCTTTCCTCGAGCGAGGATTCCACAATTGCTGTCGCGAGAACGAGGGACTGGTCCGTCTTGTCGACTATCAAGGCACCGATAGCCCAGGCCTCGGGCAGACCCAGCGGTGACACCGCGCCCTTTGGCGGCGCGCCATCCGGTGTCAACGACTTCGCCATTCACCCCAGCATGAAGTTGATGATCAGCGTCAGCAAGGGCGAGCGGTGTATGCGACTGTGGAATCTTGTCACTGGCAAGAAGGCCGGTGTCCTGAACTTCAATCGCAGCATGTTGCAGGAGGTTGGAGAAGGAAGACATTCTACAGGAGAGGGACGGAGAGTAGTTTGGGGAAAGACAGAGGATGAGGACGAATTCGCGGTTGGGTTCGACCGAGACGTTATTGTCTTTGGCATGGACAGTGTTCCCAAATGCCGTGTCATGCCCGACACGCGGACAAAGATCCACGACCTCTCCTACATCACCGTCGACGGCGAATCCGAGTCAAGCCTATTGACGGTGTGCACCGAGGATGGACGGGTCTTGTTCTTCTCTACCAAGGCAGACGACTTGAAGAAGCCCGAATCAGAAGACAAGACCCTGTCGAGCGCCAAGTTGGTCGCTCAGATCGGGGGCAAGGACGACGGTGTTGTTGGCCGCATCAAAGACACGGCTATTCTGCAAATCCAGGAGGGTGATTCCACGGCACTGCTGGTGGTTGCTGGCAGCAGTGATGGCAAGTTGCGAGTCTGGAAGATTGGCGCAAAGGAACTCACCGCCGGCAAGGGCGAGAAGGCTGGCAAATTGTTGGGAACCTACAGCACAAACAACCGCATCACATGTGTAGCGGCATTCACGATGATCCCTCGGCCAGAGGGAGTGGAGGAGAGCGAGGACGAGGTGGATGAGGACTCTGACGAGTCTGAGGATGACGACGATGAAGAGTAGACTACAACAACTATGCAATAGCAATGATAATTCAAGATATCCGTGTAATAGCAATTATCGCGTCGATTCCAGTTCCTCGGGCATTGTAGAGGTCCATTCCGACCGAAGAGAAGTGTGGATTTCAAACGGCGGTCGGAGAGACGGCTCCGACTTACCGTTACCGGGCGTCGGGTCGTTGATTTCTCAAACTGGCCTGTGCGGCAATCCGCTGATCGGCATCAGACGTGTCTCGTATTAGTCTGCAGCTTGCATGCCAATCCCCAGTTCTGTTCTTTGGCACGGGCGTTTACAGCTACTGCGGAGGTGCGTCGACGGCCTCGATGGGTTGAAGGTCCGAGGGTTTGATCTTGGCTACGGCTTCGGATCAAAGCTTGGTGGTGATGGGCCATGAAGGCGTGGTAGGCTAAGAAGTCCGAGATATTTGCAGAACGGGCTGACTACTTTGATTAGTGTAACATGGGGAATGGACGGAATTGACAAGACATGTGCCGAATCTAGAGACACGAGAAAGTAAGGAATACCACGCGTGTCAAGAGTCGTGTTCAAAGTTTTCTTCGTAGGCGTGGCTTCGAGCGTGCAATGTCTGAGTGATCACTGATAGGTGATATAACTCGGATTTCTTGTTTGTGTCTCTGAAAATAGTGACTTGAAATGGTGTGAGGGTCAATAGCCGGCAAGACATTAGACCCCGACGGTCCACGGGAAGCAAGGCTATCGCCGTCTTCCCGCTTCCCCCCGCCCCCCTTTGGACCTTCGGTACCTACCTTGCCCTGATTGAGAGTCCTGCTGGGCTTAAGTCTAACAATTGCGTCTTAGTCATGACACAAACTTGCGACTTTCCATCTCCATTGTATCCCCCCTCGTTCTCCTGGGATTTGATCAAGGAACATGTCTGAATACGCGGACTGCTCGGAAACGGTCAATAGCCCCTCTTCACGCCGAGTATCGAGCATTAGCTAAGCTGGCAGGGAGGTAAGGGTGGCGTTCGGTCACGCTTGCAAGGGTGTTCTCGCGGCTCTTACTGCCTACGTCTGTGGTAGACTGGTTCTCAGGTGAAGGAAAGAGCGGAGAGCTACCTAGCTGGTACTGTCACGGGATCGCACTGGTGGGTTTTGGAGGCACTGGAGGGGAAAGAAACGCGGTCAGCCGCTTCCACTTTGTGTACCGGTCTGGCTGGCCGGGAGCGATCAGCGCTGTGGTGCAGCTTGGTGCTCCTGCGAAACGGGGTGACGGGCTAGCAGAGTGTGGGGTAGCGGCGAATCAGCAGGTCAAGAATGTCATTTCAGGAGCCAATTCTGGCGTCGAGGGGACCTTCCGCGCCTGCTGCACGCTCCTTGCACCCAGTCATGTGGCCCCACTAGGACACACAGCTTTTGCATGCAGTTGGGGCTTGGCGGACCTGGAGTCCCCTAGCTTCCCGCCTCATATGCCCGGGCATGCTTCTTTTCGCTGCTCGCCAATCCGAGGGATGCCAATGCTCAACAGCGGGGGGAAAAGACTGTTTAATTGTGTGCAGGTACGAAAAGGTGTGTGTGAAAACTGCAGATTTTTTTGGCAAGCTACCTTCCGGTCCCCGGTCCGTAAGGTCAGTGTGGTCACGCAGCATATCAGCATCAGCACCATCTCATTATACCTTAATGTGCACTATCAACGATTGCAACGGCGGTCCAGTCGACGGCAGGTGAGGTGCATATGCATACAGATTCCAGAGAGGAGAAAGCAATGCAAGCCTCACACGTTGGAGGCGACTAAAATGCCGTAGGTAGGTATGGATGCAGAACAGAGAGGTATGTACGCAGTACGTTGCGGTGCAGGCAAGCCGCAAAGACATGGGTAGGTCTCCATAGCTACTCCCTCTGAAAGTACCCCAGGTACGAGGCAAGGTACGAATATACATTTACGACCTACAGAACGAGTATCCGCACTCAAAACAAAATGTACTTCGTCCCTGCAAAACGGGCACCTCAATGCCAAATGTGCAAAAGTCCAGACATGTGAATATTCCTATTTCCCCAGTCACCTCCACTCCCCTCTTCTCGCTTTTCTCTCCTGCTCCTAACTCCCATGCAACCTCTTCCAACCTGCTTGTCCGTTGCTGTTTATTCACCAAGCCACACAGCGCAGAGACCACACCACCATCACGCTGCGATTCCACTCTTCTCGTCTGTTGCCCGCATCTGTTTTACCGTTCGTGTCTCGTCCTTGGTCGTAGCCGTCGTCGTTCCGGACCAGAGACGCGCATAAAGAAACACGCCAGTATTCCTACCTACCTACCTTACATGCAGCAGACTCACGGCCGCTAAGAACAGACCCTCGCGCCTTGCTTACTCTCGTCTGCCACGGACGCCAGCAAGCCACAGCGAACTGACCTCTAAGAGATGATGCCGCCGTCGCCGCCTCCTTCACTCCCGTCACCCTAACCTAACGCCTTGTGCCCATTTTCGTCACTCCCGTCTGTTTATAGCTGGTCGTCTCGACTGCTTTCTTTCCCCGGTACACGCATATTGGTTCTTTCCTCTCTTCGCCGTCCCTCCACTCCACCCACCACCAACTCCCACGACATCCTGTGGCAGGGTTGTCTTGCATCAGTTCCTCCGAACCAACTCGACCTCGACCTCTCACGCTCCACGCTCACCCGTCGCATTTCCCAACAAAATATACGACCCTGGCTGCTTATAGTACTACACAACCACCACTTTCCAACCTCCTTCGACTTACCTCTGTTCGTCCGAATTTCTCATCATCTTAGCTCCAAGGCAAACCCCATAGCCCACGTGAGGCGAGACACTTCCCTCCTCGTCTGAACTTAACCTGTGACGACAACAACACCTTTCGCACAGTCGAATGCGGGGACCGTCTGGGCACTCTTATACGTAGACATTGAACCTCGCTGCCATCCGGAGCCCGAGCCTGCACCCTCGCTTTTGCTGTGAGCACATAACTGAGCCCTACACCCTCTCGCCGACTAGCCCTCTGACTGATTGTGTCCTATAGTCTCCGACGCTTCCTTCTCTTCCCCGCTACTCCACGAACTACAAACATGTCCGACGACGGCCCCCGTCTTATAAGGCCTATCCCTCGCCGTCCCTTCGAACTAAATCATATTGCTCCGACTCCTCCAGAAGAGAACTCGTCTTCCCCCAGTCCGAACCCTGATTTCGATTTGTCGAGACTGCACAATGCCCAAACAACGTCTTCAGAGTCCGGCTCCATACCTCGCGCCCAGTCGGTACTTAACATGACCGCATCGACGCTGTTTGGGATCTACTCGCCAACCACATACGGCAGAGACTCGCGAGATGAGCCAGAGACCCCCTGGGGTACTGGGGCGCAAACACCTATCAAGAGGGCCAATGTTGACGACACCACATTCGAACTCATGAAGGATCGCTCCAATCTCTTGCGTCGCCGGTCCTCGTACCGAAGTGGAGCGAAGACTCCGCCGCCCTCAACAGCAACCACGGCCCTGTTCAACCTGTCCCGCATTGCACTTCTCTTTGTGATCGGCATGGGATACGGACTAATGGTCACGAGGTTGCAAAATGAGCACAGATTCTCATCGTTCCAGGTCGACAGTATGATGAAGCCCGGCTATGACTGGCAGTATCTTACATTATGGGGCTTGTCTGGCGTTGGCCTAGGCGGCCTCCTCCCTTGGTTCGATGGCGTATGGGAGGACACGTTTGGAAAGGAGGAGGTAGTTTTGGAGGAGACGAACGGCAGCCCATCACCAGAAGATGTCAGCCCTGTAAAGGACTGGGCTGTGGTTGTCCGCAGCATAGGCGCTTTTGTTGGCATTGTATTCGCCATTGTAAGTGTATCCGTGTGCAAGTGAATTTCGAATTGGAAAAACTAACAATGGGCAGCGAAAACTTCCCTGGGCATCTACCCTCCAGGTGTCTCTCACTTTGGCGCTCGTTAACCCATTTCTGTGGTACTTGATTGACCGTTCGAAACCTGGGTTTCTGCTTTCGGCCGCTGTGGGCTTGGCGGGATCGGCTGTACTCCTCGGCATCAACCCAGATGTGATGCCTACACCATCATCTCTGACCTACCGGAACGAGTCGGAGCGGGCCTACTCGGAGCCCATCACTCTCGGTGGGCTTGCCAGCCAGGAAACTATTGAGACGGGCATTTGGATGCTCAGTGTCTTGTTCTGCAGCTGCGTCTGCTTTGGCAACATTGGCAGACGATTGGCGTTGAACAAGTCGGCGTCTGCGCGTGGCCGATGGGCTGGTACCAGATGACAAGACCGTCTGTCATGAAGGAAACTGTATCATTTCGGGTCATGAGTGTGTCCTAAGCTTTGTATTCTTGGAAAGGTTGGAAACGGTTAAAAGGGGCATATCCGTATTGATACGAATATCCATTCCAGGGGTGTATTCTGAACTGTATTTGGTCTGAATAGCGTAATGATATTCCCAGCGTCGAGACATGCTGCTATGCTAAGCGGCTGTCCCTGGCAATAAACCAAGCATTGCCCTGGTGTACCTTCTCGTGCTTGGGACCACGACACTAGGATTCCAACTCGTATCATCACACCGATGCTGCCTAAGCCTTCTGATCTCGGTGTATCAATTTCCAACGTGTATGAAGCCGACTTCGTACCAGTGAGGTTTGACCGCAGTGTTCCTCTAAAGCGGGCTCTTCTTCTCACTGTTTGCTGTATCCTTCTACATTTCCCGCATTTGCCTCTATTTGTAGTAATTTCAAAATTTCCCAATCTTTCCAAGCTCCTTGACGGCAAATCCGGCCAATGTCAAATCAATTTCTTTCGCTTCTTTTTGCCTTTTCAATGTGTGCCGACGATGTAACCCCTTTCCTTCTTCCAAGTCCACACCACCTTTTTTTTCCCTTTCAGATGGCCTGCTTCAAGACATCGACAACCGCCTGCGATCTCGAAACGATATCGTTGCCGTAATCCACCTGCGGGAGACCAATCATGGTGAGCAGCTTCGGGTTGGCAATCATTTCGTTGACCGTCGCCGATCGGCCGCAGACGTCGACAAAGGACTCGGCGGCTGCGTCGGGGCCGCTGCGACCTGGTACGCCTGGGAGTGTCACTCTCCATGTCAGCAATGCGGGCTCCTCTTTTTTTTTTTTTTTTCTCCCTCCTTGGTTCCCCCTCCTCCTTATCCGTATCCGTACTCCTCCCACACTCCAACTTCTCCGTGCCGCCGGCTTGGCCCCCGCGCGCGCGCACTTGCGCGGCTCGGAGGGAGGGGTGGGCTCGGGTACGGGGTCCGTCACCACATCTCTTTCCAACCTCAATTACCTAGAGGTCGTCAAGAAAAGGGACAACATGTGCAGTGACTGGCACCTGGGCGGGGATCATGTTATTTCAACAAACAAAAAAAATTTGGTCCTAACCGATATCTTGCTGAGGGATCTGCTCCGGATACCGCACGGGCTCGCCGTCGCGGATGTGGTCGAGCTCCGTCATGATGTACCGGGAGCGGTTGACGTAGTCCCAGACGTGGAAAAGACCCTTGTGGGGGTTCGGCGGGCTCCAGGCCGGGTGGGCCTCGATGGCGTCGATGAGCTCCGTGAACTTTTCAATGATTTTGGCTCGGTGCTCGGGGGAGGGGAGGCTGAGGGAAGACATGATGGGTACGATAGGGAAGACGTGAGGGGAAGTATGTTCAACGCTGATGTGGGAAGTGAAGCAAGCGGGAGGAGAAGAGCTGCGGTGTAGGATAAGTAAAGCTGTTGAGTTGAATATGGGAGTTCCAGACTTGGCTTTGGATAAAAAGCTATAGCAAGTATACTAGAGTCCGCAAATGTCGGTCAATTAGTAGAGTAGGGAAAGAAGAAGAGGGGAAAAAAGGAAAGGAAAAATCCTCCGAAAGCTTCCTCCATGTCAATAAACTGTCACATGGAAAGTTTCCTCTTCTGTGAGTTGTCGGTGAGGGTAAGCAAGGGTTTGGAACGCGTTGCCGCGTTATTGTGGCATGTTTTCCAATCGCACAGACTCGGCTGGGCAACCAAAAGGCAGAAGAAAGCCACAGCTTCAACTCGAATTAGGTTGCGTTTTTTTGTTTTTTTTTTGGCTGATGAGGGGAAGAATGGCGAGTGGGGTTCAAATGGCGGCATCTATGTACCCTCGAGATGGATAGAATGGAGGGGTTCGAGGGGTTGATGGGCAAACATGGGGTCAAATGGCTGGTCCAGAACCGAAGATCTGCTCTGAAACTGGAAGCTCAGTTGCAGAGTCCATATGACGATCCCGTAACAGACAAGAGAGGTAGGTTGCGTGGTTACACAGAAACTAACATCATACAGTCTATGCAACATGGTATTGGCCACAAAGCCGACTGGTTCCTAATTTCTTAGAGAACCTCGGCGCCTAGTTCGTGCATGCTTTGGTATTTCTCCTTTTTCTCGTGGTACCGAGACATTGTTCTCTTCTGGCCGAGCTATGCAGATATTCCGACCATGGAGATGAAAGTTGTGGTGTAACAATACGGTAGTCTTACAGCAACTTACGCCCGCAGTGATTACTTATCACATATTATCACCAGTGGCTGAGGATTTAGTCGACAAAGCCCAATGAGAAGTTAAAACTGCGGAACAGTTGGAGGCTTTGATACTCGGTAGATTTTCGCCTCGCACTTCTGTTCCGGGCATAGGTGCAGTGCGAATTGCGCTACTCTAGAGTCGGACTCGAGCCATCAAACGACTCTCGTTGCCTCGCAAGGTGGTAGCGCGTCCAACAAACACTTACTACCGGCAAGCCAGACTCCGCGGTCCTGGCAACATCGACTATCTGTGAGGTGAATATGACTGGCGGCGGTAACGGCCACGCAAGGCGTCTGGGGCCAGGGACAGGCGCACGACCGGCTAGCTGAGTGGCAACCACAGAAAAGCTCAACAGCAGCTAGCTAGTATGCAGGAAGCGAGCGGTATGTGAGTAGCCTCATGACTTTACGCCACTACATTGCTTGAGCAAGGCTGAATCGAGATCCTGCTGTCCGCAGGCTTCGACCAAAGAGGCTAGTTGCTCGGGGCACTACTTACATTTGTTAGGCTTCGTGAGCGATGAGCAGCCCCATTGTCTAGTAGTGTTAGGACTGCGATCAGTCAAGAGTCAAGACCCGAGGCTGACGACTAGTAACCACGACCAGGACTAGGAATTATGGGAATCGAGGACTAGGTCTAGAGCCAATGAGGACTTGCCAGAGCTGAAACCGAGTTGGGCAAAAAGCCATGTTGCAGATGCTCATGAGACTGAGAGGGAGAAATCCGAGACACGGTCGCCCGAAGGATAAGTCAGTTCTGCGCTCCTCAGACCTAACAGGGCGACTTATTGCCTAGATTGCCGAGAAGAAAATAGACAACAAGTCCAGAGCTTCGATGTTGAGCGAGAGGTACAGAAAGCAGCGGGCGTGAAAGGCAGGGGCGAAAAGTAGCCAAAGTGTCATGACGCACTGGATCTGAGAAGCTGAGCTGCATCTGAGTGGGCGCGGCAGCGAACAAGGCGCTGGCAAAAACGCTGGACCCTGGCTTACCCGGGCATGTTTGCGCTGTCTTGGGTACGTGCAGGCGCTAGCGCCGATTGTCGGCTACAATAGAATCGAGCGGGATCGTTAAAAGCAGTTGCGATCACTTTCCAGAAGGCTCATCTTCGTCCGACTCAAGCATCGAGGTGGGAGGAAAAAACGCAGTTTTGTGTGGGAATACCGGCCACGGGCACATTGTTGCCTCCAGTTTCCCTGATGAGAGACAGAGGCGTCCGCCCAGTGGTACTCGCAAAGTCGCGGTACTTGTCGGCATGGATGAAGCGTGGTGAATGGCCATGCTTGCTGATGTCAGGGTCCTGGGTCTCGTCCGCATCGAGATCTGGCTGCGGCCGCCACGAATACCTAGGTACGTGGTATTATTTTGCGGTGTGGCAGTCGTACTCGTAGGTTGCCGGCCACAGTGGTATTTTGGATTTTGACCTTTCGGAAATTGTTGGTTGGACGGTTTGGGGAGATGGAGAGTCCCTTGCAGATTTACGGTTACTGAATCTTTTCCCACGACATACGAGAGATTGCTTGTGTCTTGCCGTAAAGTCGATAGATCGCCTGCCCTGCAATGCGTCCCGGCCGGGATTCGGACCAGAACAGACAAGAGCAGAGGGACTCGTGGAGGCGGGCCATCCTCCGAACATCACGTGGCATGTGTTGTCTCATGTCTTGCTGAGGTAAGCAGTCCCGACAGCGCGTGTGCACCTTCCAGCAAGCCCGCAGTTCAGATATCCAAAAGAGGGGCAACAAGATGCTGAATTGCGTCATACCACAGGTCTGTATCTCTGTAAACTTGCGAGTACCAACTGACAGTGTCAGACAGGCAAAACTCATATAACACAAGGCAGGTTGTCTAAGTTCTAAGGCTCCCTCAAAACAAATCAGGCAGTCGACCCCTCCATCAATTCGAGGCAAGAGGCAAAAACAACCCGATTAAGCGTCTCTGAGCACATGAGACGAGCTGAAGATCTAGGACATCTACCGAGTTTAAATGTGCGTAAACACTGCTCCACAAATATCACAGAGTTTCCAGCTACTGGGAATTGCAGATCAAAAGAACAGTTAGTGCCGGTAGAAACCAAAGGCAGCTCGTAGCTCCTAGGTAAGGTAAGCCCACAGTCGATCAGCCCGCCGCACAGCCGTTGAGAAGGGAAAATCTAGAAAGAAAATGCACTAGGCACGGAGAACAAAAACTGATTGAGCCATGTTGTCCCAATCGGTCTCCCGTTCTCGCACTCACGCTTCAGGTTCCCTCGCCCGCCTCTATTGGACCCCGTGGTGTCCAAGACTCCAAGTGTCGTCACAACTAGCCTAGAAATTTGGCTACTGACAACAGCCCGCTAAACCCGGTTGGGTCTAGGCGCAAGGGGCCCCGTCCAGGGCATCTGGGAAAGAGCCACAAGAGCCCGCCCATGCGTCGTCGCCTGCCGCGAACTTCGCAACTTGTACCGGTACTTGACATGACCTTGGAATCTCGACATGGACCGCCGGGCCTGGCGCTGTCCGGGGGCGGCTCTCTTGCTGCTTCCTCTCATTGTTCTTTCCTGCTTGTTGCTGAGATGTCGCTCCCATGGCTCCCCAATCGTAGCCCACCTCTGCCTTTCTCTCTAATTTCATTGACCTCATTGCACGGCCACACCATCCCCCGAACGCACCCCTCCTAAACCGTCCAGCCGCCCAGCGAATTGGTAACTCGACGTTAAATGTATGACGCCTGCCAGTCGTTATCCACCATCGTTACCTTCGCGCCCCCAAACGTACTCTTTCTATGCGACAGACACTGGCCCGGTACATGCATCCCGCCAGTTCTCCAGCTTCTAGCTCCGGCCCTCGGTCTACTAGCTTTGCCGGTCTCTCTTCACCTGTCCGCTTTTGATCTCGTTCAGGCGCATCATGAGATCCGCTCGTTTCTGGAACCTCTGCAGCCCTGGTGATCCCGCATATATGACCCCTGGTCACTGTCCCCCCGTCTCTTTTTTGCTGGATCTTACATACGCTCAGGTGGCTACACGAAATACATAGCCATCCTCCATCACTCGATCTCGGCGGCACTTCGCCTAACTATCTCGACTCACCGACGACAAGTCCATTATATACCACGAGAGCAGGATTGTGCTAGGGGAAAAAAGGTTACTTACGAAACGAACCGGCCGCGAACCCATACAGACATCTACCTAAGCTGTGCCAGCACCGAGCTGGTGGAGACGGCTTCATGTCCTCCGACCAACCCCGAGTCGTCGAGAGCAGACCATCGGCCCTGACGTCCAACCCGGTACACGAAGCCGAGGACGAAAAGGATCATGGCACTGTCGAACGGCCACTGGAGGGCGAACAAATTCGAGAAGTCATTCGCCTGATACAATGCCGAAAATGCTCCCACCCTCTGCAAGAGCCAATTACACTTCCTTGCGGTCGAAGCCTCTGTAAACAATGCGTCCCAGAAACACACACTCGAGAAAATATATCATACCCCGCCACGCCAAATAGATTACAAGGCTTCGAATGCCCATATGCGGAATGTGGGAAGAACCATGCCGTGGGCGATTGTGGCGTTGATGTCATTCTCACCAAGGCAGTCAACAACTTCAAGGCCGAGATGGAGAAGGCGAAAGAGACGAGCACCAAAGCCGAGATATCCACGCATGTCATCATCAACAGTTCAGGTGCTGGGCAGTCAGATACGACCGACGACAACGGAGAAGTAGCGAGGGTTGTGAAAGGAGGCCCGCTGCTCGCAGTCTATACGTTGGCAGATACAGGCGAGTTGGATTACAACTCAGCCGTCACTTTTGCCGAAGTCTCATCACTCGGAGATGAGGCTACGTCAATCGACTCAAGGACATTTTCCAAAGTAAAGGAATCTGTACGCACGGAAATGGACTGCCAGGTGTGCTATGCCTTATTCTACGACCCTCTTACGACAGTTTGCGGCCACACTTTCTGTCGATCGTGCTTACACCGCGTGTTGGACCATTCCTCCTACTGTCCGATATGTCGACGAGGGTTATCGGTCAGCCCTCTGCTGTACCGGGAATCGTGCCCATCAAACGAGAGTCTGAAAACCATCATTCAGACTTTTTGGGCCGATGCCGTTCTCACAAGAGGCGATGCTTTGGCGGCGGAAGCAATGAACAGGCATCGGGAGTTTGATATCCCCATTTTTGTCTGCACATTGTCGTTTCCAATGATGCCGACCTTTCTCCATGTCTTTGAGCCGCGCTATCGCCTGATGATACGCCGAGCTTTGGAGGGCGACCGGACTTTCGGCATGGTGCTACCTCAACGACCCCGGACGGCCAATGACACACACTTTGTGCAATACGGAACCCTTTTACGGATTGTGAACGCCGAGTACTTTGCAGACGGCAGAAGCCTGATCGAGACATCTGGCATATCACGCTTTAGAATCACCAGACATGGCATATTGGATGGATATTTGGTGGGGAAGATTGAACGAATTGACGACATATCGATCGCGGAGGAAGAAGATCTAGAGGCAACCGAGACACAACAAGCCCTAGAAAGATACGAAAGCGCCGCTACACATCAGAGCGAAGACTCGAGTTTGCCGAGACCACCTACGACTACCCCCGAGGACCTCTCAACAATGCCAACTAGCGACCTTCTGTCCTTGGGTGTTTCCTTTGTGCAGAGAATGAGGCAACAAAGCGTGCCGTGGCTGGCACAACGAATGCTGGCTATCTATGGGGAATGCCCCAACGATCCGGCACTTTTTCCTTGGTGGTTTGCCAGCATCCTGCCAGCCAAGGAGTACGAGAAGTACAAACTTTTGGAAACACGAAGCGTCAGAGAGAGACTCAAGATCTGCTGCGGCTGGATTTTGGAATGGGAGTCAAGCAGGTGGTGAGTAATCCCTGTCCGATGCTTTCTTCTTTTGCGCCCTTTTGTTTGAAGTTTTTCCGCACCAGTTCAGACGCTCTGTACGAAATCTTTCCAAGAGATTCGGTGCGGATGTCATTGTTGCCCCCGTTTGCTTGTTATTAGACAATTAAACAGACGGGCTAAGGTGCAGAAACTTTCAGGAGGGCCCTTATTGACGGCCGCTCAGGTCCCTCTCAGACTGCCGAATCTTCTGATGCTGGGGACTAGCTCAGCTACGGGCGCCGAAGGCCTCGCCCAAGAGACATGAATTGAAGTTGGCCACGAGGAGGCCGAGGTTTTGGCCTACGAGGGTTTCTTTCCACTGGGATGTTAGGATGCGGGGGTGGCCGTTGTCATAAAATTCTCGCATTTGCATGGCAGCATTGGGCATGTACTAGGAATCCTTCACGGCATTATATTACGACACAATACAGATACCAAATTGGCCTATGTAGGTATACTAGAGAACCATGCCAAACAGAAGTTGAAGAATGCAAATTCGCTCAGGTTACCGATGTATTTAAGTTGAAGTCGACGTCTAGATGCTCTCTCACCCAGGTCAGTGTCGAAGATAACAGCTTTGTTGGTGATTGTCATGCTTCGCAGGACACCCCCGATGTAACCGGGGATATGCAGCAAGTGCCACCACAGGGGGAATACTCTATAGAAAAGACATTGGCACCCTCATTCGTACTAGATAAGTCTACGACCGCCCGTGACTTCCTCAAGATGTCTGGTCGTCATTCACTTGGACTAGAACCTTAACACATCCATCCTCCTTCGCCATAACACGACCGATTTTGCCGTTTACCAAGCAACTGACTTTCCATCACCATCATCATCAACATCTCAAAATGATGTTTTCCACTGCTTCAAGTACATGTTCGACGACAAGCGCTCTGACAAGAAAGCCAGGAATGATTAAAATCAACGCCATAGCAGCTGTACCAAAGATACAGAGATGCAGAGATAGACGACTGGGAGCAGGACAGCGGACAGCGGACATGAATGATGGCTGGTGCGTCCGAGTTGGCCGGAAACGGTCCGGGACTGGAAATCATAGATAGCTTTGCCTAAGAAAGCCAGCGTTGCAGAGTTAGCGTTCACTGTCGATCTCTTACGCTGCTGCTGCTTAACCTTTCTTTCTGAATGGTGCTGATCTCTATTACCTTCGTGGATGACTTCAGTAGAAACTGCCAACAGAGACTGAAGTAACTGTGCTTGCAATTATTAACCAAATCACAATTCAGACGCTTGACTTGGGGTAAACGAGGTGCGCACGTCACCGTGATCAAGCTTCTGTTAAAGGCTAGGTCTGTTGAGAGATCCCCGTCTTCAATTCGGACAAAGAAAAGCCTATACGTAGGATAGTCACCAGGATGCAAGAACAATGTCATAACTACAGATTGGCTCGGCTCTTCAGTCTCCTTGCACAATGCTTGACTTGGAGTTTTGCCAGAACGTTCTTCATCTGGGAAATCCCCAAGTAATGGCTAGCTCAAAGGGTCTTTCTAGTGGCCTGCAACACTCGCGTGGATGTAATCAAGTCGATTTTCTACAGTGGGCCCCCCCTATTCCCCGTACTTCAGTGTCATACATGACGCCTCATAAATAGCAAGAAGAGCGAGCCCGAGTCATGTCGGCCGGCACAAACAACTCGGAGGTAACCCGAATTTACTGAATCCCAAAAAAGGCATCGTCAAACTTGCCGTGCTCCATTTCTGTCATGTCTCCAAAAAACATGTCATCGAAGCTGTTACCATCGCCCCCGTCGCCACCCATATTCATATCGAGGTCCATGTTCTCCATGCTTGTGTTCCCATCGAGGTTGAACAGATCGTCGAGGTTCGTGGACTCCTGCTTCTCCATCTTGGCTTCTACTGGCTTCTCTTGGTTGGCTGCCGACGCTGTTGCTCCTGCCGAGGCTGGCGGGGCTGCACCAGTCTCTTGTTTTGTAGCGTTATCTGGAGGGAGGAGATTGTCGAGCGACAAGAGGTCGCCGCCTATGTCGCCGGAGCCGAATGACATGTCCATGGCCGCATCCTGTACCTGGGCTTGGTCTGGTGCCTCGTTGTTGGGTGGCGCCAAACTGAAGGTCATATCCGTGAAATGGAACTCTGGGTTGTTGCCTTCAGTACCGCCTCCAGAGTCGTCACCAAGACCAAACAAGTCATCCATGGGCGCCTCTGGGGCACCTGAAGGTTGAGGTTGCGAACTTGGCGGCTCGGTCTTTAACTCCTGCTTGATCTCGCCCATGGGGGCCATCATAGCCGGTGGTGCAGCAGGTGGTGCAGGTGTCATCTCCTGCTTCACTTGGGGACTGGGTTCGGGCGCTGGCTGGAAGCTGACGCCCATGTCAGGGAACGGAGCCATTGATGGTGCTGTGCTCGGTTCTGCGGGAACCCTATGCGGACCCGTAGCCTCCGTGATCTTGGGCTCATTCTCAGGAGGCGTTGGCTCCCGAGATGAAGAGTCGAGGTCGATAGCCATGGGTGATTTGGTCTGCGCCTCGACTGGCGCAGGCTGCTCCACCGGTTGTCTTGCTTGCTGGAAACGATCCAAATCTCTTTGTAGCGCAGCCTTGGCCCGTATCTGCCGTCGGTGTTACTACTAGACGTAGGAAAGAAACCCTACTTGAGTGACTTACTATCTCGCTCTCCAAATCATCCAGTTTCCAGTGGAAGCTCTCGATGATCTCTGGCATCTTTGTTTGCAAAGAGACCTGGGCCTGGAATTGATGCCTGCCATCTTTGCTAAGAGACTTCAGTGCCTTGCCTGTTTGGATCAGCTGCAGATATGATCAGCCATTATGTTCACATATGTAAAGTTACTAAAAGTCCCATACCACATCGTTTATAAGTCCATGCAGTGCTTCCGCAGAGTCAGAAGTCGCCGCCTTCGAGTTTGCCATCGCAGCGACGCGACTCCGCTGGCTATGAGTTCAATGGCCAACTTCTCTACGAGTTGTTTTCAAATGCGTAGGATCGATATGCCAAGTCAAAATGGCGCGACACAGTGATATGGTGTAGTTGGCCGTTCAGGGGGATGTGTCAAACTTGATATTATGAGGTCGAAGAGACTGAGAGAGGCCTGGCGTTTCCGTATCCGTCGATTGTGTGAACTCTTCAGCAGTGGAAAGAGTGGGAGAGAATGGGACCGTCAAAGCCTCCTTAGTTAAACGATTGATGTGATGATTGAAGTTGATTTGGTAAAAGTGAATCGCTGGATCGTTGCTCAAGTTGCAGTTGATTCTTTGACAACCAACAAAACGCCAATGTTTGACGTCTGAATCAGCCAGGTCCCCAGCCTTCCTCCCCGATGAACCGGTACGTACCTGCGGTGAGGGTAGGTAGATTCTCTGTCGTCGACTGGAAGGCGAGACTGGAGCCGGGGCGCATACTTTGACCAATCAGACACATTGGGAAGCTCAACCAATGAGCAGCCGAAGCGCAGATGCGGACTGCTGTGGCCATGCAGTTGCGCCACGTCCACAGCAATCACAGCTCCTAGCGCCAACGACCTGAGGAAGGAACATTGAATGCACTGTGAGCCCCGGAAGTAACCCCGCACCTCCCATACGGCACGGGGTGAGCGCAAGACAAGCAGGCGGTAGGCAGTATCTAGGGCACTTTCCCCTCTTCTATTTCCCCTCTGTCTCTGGCTCTACCTTAGTCCCACCTTTTCTTCCATGCATCGGATCGCGACCAACGTGGAATCTTGGGATGAAGCCGACTGAGAGGGTGTCCTTCAGCTGAAACTCGATTGCGTCGGACGGAAGACTTGTCGAGGGCCGTAAGCCCCTGCGAGGAGCTCTAATCGACGAGAGTCTGGTGTGCCTACGTATGCGTACCTTTTCATGTTCGAAAAGGCACAAGCTACCTTACCTTAGTCTGTCAACACTCATCTTGCTGATATTGGGTCCCCAGACGGTGACTTGGATTCCCTTCCACGCTCAATAGCAACCAGGCCACATGCGGATGAGGTTCCCTGATCTCTCGGAGGACGTTGTTGCGGATGCGGAAGACAAGGGCAAAGCCCACCGTCGGAGGTATGGGTGACCCTATTGCTGTCGCCGGTGAGCTAACCCAGGACATCGTTCGTCCCATCGTGCCAGGAGCCCTTCTCCCGGGAAATTGGTTGCGTCCTGCAACAACAAGTTTCGTAACCCACATGCCCGGTCATTGATGCTTGGAACTCTAGCGTCTTGGGGGTCATTATGCATGCTGAAGCTTGCCGTGACTTTACATAATGTAGGTAAGAGAATGTCTAGCTGTGAGACATCCCGAGCCACCAAAATTATCAGTGATGATGAGGCTGATGACATGAAAACGGTTGTCGGCCTGTCGGTCTTTTGAAAGCGGGATGGATCCTTATTCCACTTCTTGTACCGAGGAGAACCCCCGGCCGTCTGTTCTTGATTGTGCACTTGCAACAGGTTGAGCATTGATGTTGTGGTCCGCCAACGCTAAATGCTTATATTCCATGGTTGAGGCTGTTAGTGCCGCCCCCAATCGCGACTTGGCGTGAGGCATGAGATGAAATTCTGGGAGGCTCAGTAGTCAATTGAAGACAAAGTGCTAGTACAGCTGGTAATTTAGTTACGATGCATACGGCAGGTGAGCCTGAAAGACGCTTAAACAGGGAGTGAGCCGAGGCATAGCTGGGATATCCTTTCCTTCAGGCAAATCATATGGCACGGTGATCAGTCATGAATTCTGCATTGAGAATCAAGGCTTGGAACCCTTCCTATAGCGATGCGTTTGCTACCATTGTCCAACTCCGAGGCCGGGGCTCCCATTGAATCGAGTTCTGTTTGTTTGCACTGGCTTTTTCACCTTGGTGGGAGCTCATCTTACATGGCCTGTTGGAACTTGGCAGCCGCAAATCTCATTTCACTGCTACGCATTTGTAACTACGTTCATCCACGTCCAATCGAGAGTGTGATCAATGCAGCCTATATGTGCATCTTTCTATGACCGACTCTCAGGTTCAATGAGTGATCCATTGATTCAGGAAATGTCAAAACCAAGCGCCCGTCCTGTCAAGCTCTGACAGGGCCTGTCCCGTGTCCCGCGACTCCCGTCTGGCGCAGAAAGTTGAATTGGCCATCCAACGTCTGTGATGGTGCAATGCTCAAACTTCCACGTTGTCAGCGGCCGTCCCAGGCCTCGCTCCTTGCCCAAGCAAGTTTAGCGCAAGTCGCTTAAGCATCTACCTGTTGCAGCAACACCCCTTTTTTGTTTCTTGCTGCCATCCCATCTCTCCCATTTCCCCTCACCCTGCAAGCCCTGACCAAGCGGAAGGCTCACCCGTTGGTTCAGGGTAAAGAAGGTTGAGCGAGTACCGAGTGTGAATCAGGTGCAGCTAAGCTAAGACTCGTAGGTACTCGACACCAGATGACAGCACATAACTGAGGGTAGGTATCCGTACCTTAGGTAGCGGGAAATGTGGACGTGCTCGAATTAAAAGAATAAAAAAAGAAGAAGGGTATCCGTAGAATAGGTAGCCCGCTGCCCGCCCCTCTCGCGCCGGGGACCAGCTACAGCCACCCGTATCTTAGTAGCACCACCCTTGGCCGACTGGGGATAGTGCGCAGCTGTACCCAGTGGAAAGGCACGGCTGGACAAGCAACAGCCTGGCACAGGGTTCGACGGAGACCTTCAACAGGCCAATCCTAGGGTCTGGGACCAGCGGTGGGCGCCGAATGGGTTGCCCTTGTTGCTTTGCTGGCGAGGTGAGCCTGGTGAGGCAACAGGGAAAGACGCATGTACATTTCTGTAGAAGCTTTGCAGCAACGCGCAGCAATTGGCACCCCAAGTTATACATGGACAAAATATAAAAAAGAAAAAAGGCAAGTGGAGATGCCCTGGATGTGGATCACCATCCTACCTTGACACCCTGTATAGATTGTGCAGAAAGGTAGGTACGAAACTGCCACCCAGCATAGAGGTAAATGAGGGCAAAGCTCCAACTGAACCTATTCTGCACCGGCCTCCATCTGCCTTTGCTGGGCTGCACTGGATAGGACCAGACCACATTTCACTGGACGACATGCTGCAGCTCCCCTACCCTACTTAGCACTATGTACGGTGCCAGGGTGCCGTAGGCTGTGCGAATTTCGTCTCTGGTCTCGCCATGATCAAATGTCCCCCCTCATCCGCCCTCCTTCTTCTCCCTCCTTCCATCTGCTCCCCTCTCCCCTCTCCATCGCAGATTCTCCTCTCCACGTCTTCAGGAAACGTTTCTCTCTCCTCTCTCCTGTCGTCTCCTCTCTCTCTCTCTCCTCTCGGACCGGGTTTTGTTGTGATTCCTTTCAGGGGGTTCCAGTCCTCTTTTCACGCCTGTTTCCTTGGTGCTCGCCTCCGCTTATCATTTCGAGTCTCCTGTCATCTCATCTACAGCACTGCACAGTACACTACTTTGGAGCTTCTCTCGGCATCTCTCTTATCATTCGCCCTTCCCCTTGTCTCTCTATCCGCTCAAGCGTCTCTCTTGTCACGTTGGGTCGACGTCCTTTTTGCCTGCCAGTACCGTCCCCACGTCCACAATTTTTCCTGTCGACTTTCGGTTCGTTGTCTTCCTCTTCCAAGGTCAAGTCACATCGTTCCAATCTCGACTCCGACTGCCTCTACCGATAGATCGCAAAGAACAGATCCAAGGAAAAAAAGACTCGACATCGTCCTAGCCGCCCTCGGCTAAGACATCCTAATTGTGTCCGCCACTTTTTTCCCTCTCTCATACTTATTCTCTCTTGCGCGCGCGCACTCTCCCCGCCTCCCGCTTCCCGCTCTTTTAGCCTCGTTGCTCGCTTGCTTGCTTTGCTGTGAGCTTCTAGGGTCACGTCAGTCTCGGGACAAGTTTTCAGTACTACTTCCTCCCACACTTCTACTCACGCCACAACCAACAACCTCCAAGCAGTCGGTTGCTTCTCGAACCTCGCTACCGTTCTAAGACATTCTCAGTTCAACGTTGCATCTTGCAAGCAAAGTCTAGAGCTATATTGGTCTAGCTATCTGCAACACCGTCTCTCATATCGTCGTTAACAGTCGACGAATTCTCAAGCTTCGAAATCTACTCGTCACACAATCGGCTTCTAGTACCAACAACCGACGCAATGGCGGACAACGGACCTGCTTCGAACGCGGCGCAGCTGCCCCCTCCTCCCCAGCCGAATGCTGGAGCTCCAGGCTACGAGAACGGCCAGAATGGCCAGTCAAACCCGGCGCACATGCCCCCGCCTCCCCTCCATATCCCGCAGAACAACAACCCGATCCCGACCGCCATTACCTCGCCCATGTCTGGTGTCGATAAGGTTATGTCGCCCGGTAGCGCGGGGGGATTCGGCCGCCGTGCTGCTCCCGAGCCTAACAAGCGGGCGCTGTACGTCGGAGGCTTGGATCAGCGTGTGACCGAGGATGTCTTGCGTCAGATCTTCGAGACTACCGGTCACGTTCAGAATGTCAAGATCATCCCCGACAAGAATGTGCGTATACTGTTGCCATGTTGAACTTTCCATGAGGATGCTCTTGGTATCTACATGTCTATGTGATCCACGATATAGCTGACCGTGTATCAACAGGCTAAGGGCTACAACTATGGATTCGTTGAGTACGATGATCCCGGTGCGGCCGAGCGCGCTATGCAGACCTTGAACGGAAGACGTGTGCACCAATCCGTACGAGAACCTTCCTCTGATGTTGCGAATCGAAGTTGACAATTTGTTAGGAAATCCGCGTCAACTGGGCTTATCAGTCCAACACCTCAAGCAAGGAGGACACCTCCAACCACTTCCACATCTTCGTTGGCGACCTTAGCAACGAAGTCAACGACGAGGTTCTGACCCAGGCGTTCTCTGCCTTTGGCTCCGTATCCGAAGCTCGCGTCATGTGGGACATGAAGACTGGCCGATCTCGTGGATACGGTTTCGTCGCTTTCAGGGACCGCCCGGACGCCGAGAAGGCACTCAGCTCCATGGATGGAGAGTGGCTTGGCTCACGCGCCATCCGCTGCAATTGGGCAAACCAAAAGGGTCAGCCGTCTATTGCGCAGCAGCAGGCGATGCAGGCTATGGGCCTGACGCCCACGACACCTTTTGGCCACCACCAATTCCCAGCTCATGGTGTTGCCAGCTATGAGGTTGTCCTTGCCCAGACGCCGTCGTGGCAAACAACGTGCTATGTTGGCAACTTGACTCCTTACACCACGCCAAATGACGTGGTCCCCCTCTTCCAAAACTTCGGCTTTGTGGTTGAGTCTCGATTCCAGGCGGACCGAGGATTTGCATTCATCAAGATGGACAGCCACGAGAGCGCGGCTATGGCAATCTGCCAGATGAACGGCTATAATGTTAATGGACGCCCCTTGAAGTGCAGCGTGAGTTTAACCCAAAGCCAATTGCTGGAGAATACGCACTGACTTTTCCTGTGCGAAGTGGGGCAAGGACAAGACCCCGAACCCTCAGGGCGGCGCCGCCGCCGGCTTTGACCCCTCGCAGCAGGCGTACAGCCCGCAAAGCGCCGCTTCCGGCCCCGGAGGTTACCCCGGTACCCCGACTGCCTACTTCCCTCAATACGGCGGTAAGTGTTCAGCTACAGGTTAGAGATGCAGAAGAAACCCCAAGCTTACATGATATTCATCAGGTCAATACCAAGGTCAGCACGGCAACTACGGTGGCCCAGCCGCTCAGTCCCCGGCCGGTTATGGAGCGCAGCCCATGGGATACGGCGGACCGCAGAGTGCCGGAGGCTATGGTCGCGGGCAACAGCCACCCAACCAGCAGTGGCCCCAGGGACCTCAGGGACAGAACTTCAACAACGGGTTCGCTGGGTACCAGGGCTAACTGCAGTTCACGACGTAGCCCCAGCTCGTGAGCTAGAGTGCGCAGCGTTGCATTTTGCTCCAACAGAGGGCATCGAATACGGTCGCACCCACAGCGTTGCAAGGTCCTAGGGGTTGCTTTTGTGGAGTCTTTCTTTCTCAATGTTGTTTTTTTTTGATGGCAAAATGGCATGACCAACGCATCTCCCATGTTTTCCCAAAATCATTTCTTGCCAAAGCGTCTCTCTCTCTATCTCAATCTCTCCTACCATCTGCGATGAGGGCATATGTTGGTTTCTCTGGTGTGAGCACTGGGGATGCGAAGGGGACATCATGTGCATTTTCCGGGACGTTTCTCAGTCTTCCTATCTTCTACGGCCTAGTGATTCCCACAAGTCACGAACTTTTCCTTGTGCAGTCATTTCTCCCTCTCTCAACCTGTCGGAGGGGCAGAGGGCAGACTTTTGATATGCTGTTTCGTTGCCAAAAAAAAGTTTGCTGCTTTGTTCTATCATGGATACCTCTTCAGCATGACGAATCTGTTGGATGATGAGTTTATGACTTTTTATTTATCTATTTTTCTCTACACTATGTTGGGCACAAGTTTTCTCCTAGCGCGTGGTGGTCTCCCGGATACTCGAGTCACCATTAGATACCTACGACGACCAGACACCAGATTTTGACGAACCTATGGGAGAGGAGAAGGGGTGCGTGTGTGTGGCTTGGATGACCAAGGAGCGAGCAGGTGGAGACGACATGTGGTTGGCTGATGGAGGGGGTTTTATGCATGCGTGTGGGAGGTGCAGGTACTTCTTTTTGGGAAACCCTTTGAAATGATGGAAGGCGAAAACAAATTACAGAAGAGAAGACTGCAAGACCAGACAGACGAGGCATCTGTTGAATGAAGCTGACGTTGGCAGAGTACCCGTCCGTACTTGTAGCCTCCTTGAAATTGTCCCCATGATAAACGCGAGTCCCGTTCGCCTGCTATGAAGAACCTGCGTTGGGGGTACTCTTTTCTCTACCTACCTAGCCCGTCACCTTCGATCCTGCAGGCCGGCTGACGGGAGGTTCTTTTGAAGTACGTATCGTTGCCAACGCCTGAATGCATGTCATTGGACGCCTCTGGGTGCCATCTTCTCGCTCGTCTTATTCGGCAAGAAGCTGTGCTTTTGGACATGCGAGACTTGGGGAGCTCTCTGTTCTGTTCCCCTGAATCCTCTCATACCTGCCTGACGCCATCTGTAAGTTTACTTCGTGGTAACGGCGTAGAATTCCTATTGCATGACGAAGATGCCGAAATGGAGACGTCGTCGTCGCCAAGAATCTTGTCACTAGGGACCCGGGCTGTTATCTAATACTGTCTCTGGCTAAATTTCTTGGGCTGCGGAAATTTGAGAAGGGCCAGGAAGCCGGTGCCAGGTATGCGTTTCATCAAGTGTTCATTGTGTATTAGATGTATGTGGGGGATATCTCTCTCTTTCTCTTTCTTTCTCTCAAATAGACGGGACACGAATTTCAATACTTTCTGGTGCGCCATCTCGCCGGGTGGCAACTGTCGTTTACCTTCATACTGGGCCTCACTTCAAAGTAGTCGAACCCCTTTTTTTCAGCGTTGCGTAAAGCTGTGGCCTGAAGACTTCCTGACAGAAATGACGCTTGTCAGAAAGAGGCCGAGCGATCCCTCGCCTCCTGATGCCCGGTCATGACATGCCGCAGCGACGAAACGGGGCAATGAAGCTCGCACACGTAGCCAAACCCCCATGAGACACTTGCCTTCATTCAAGATCATGAGTGAGCCTCGTGATGAGGTCACCGGAACTGTACTGTGTTGTCGAGGCTCAGGCTACAACTTTGCCTTCTCAATTCTCTCCTGCTCCGTCCATGCCTTATTGATGCGAACATTCTGCCAAAACCGCCAGGCCCCGAGGGCTGCCGCTGCTGGTGGACACGCCAGGAGCAGCCAACTCCACCATACCGGGCTGGAGGCCTGAACGTGACGGATAGCCTCGCCAATGTCTCTCTTCAAGTCTTCCTTGGAGCCATCATTCCATAATACGACGCCCTTGCCCTCACCTCTGGCTTCGCATCTCCGTGCCTTGAGCCTCACATCCGTCTGGCTGAGCACGCGGTTCTCGGCGTCTTCGCGGCTGAGATGGGGATCGCGGGCCATGAGACGCTGCATCTGTACCTCGGGGTCCTTGACAGCAACGACAAAAACGGTGCCGCAGAGGCGGTCGAGGCTGCTTTCGAATAACAGGGGAACGTCGAGGAGAACAGCCCAGTGACCGGTGACATAGGCACGGAGAATGGCCTTGTACATCTCAGAGCGAACGGCCGGGTGAACAATGCCGTTGAGTACGGCACGGTCCTTTTTGAGCTCTTCCGTGTCGCCGAAGACGCGCTTGCCGAGGGCGGGTCGGTTGAGTGGTCGTCCTTTGCCGTCGGGCCCGGCCTCGGGCATGGTCTCTGAGACCGGGACGAGGAGGTCCGGGGTTGTGGGGAGGAAATGCTTCACGATGGCGGCATATCCCTTTGATCCAGGTTCGACGACTTTCCTCGCGAGAACATCGGCGTCGATGAGGGGAATGGAGTAAGGGGGGTTGGAGAGGATGGAGGAAACGGTTGACTTGCCCGTTGCAATGGAGCCCGTAAGACCGATGAAGAGCATGGTGAGAAAATCCCCTGTTTCAGGGCGTGATTTCGGTTTGGCCTCTTCTTCTGAAATTTGAATTCGAGCCCCGGCGGCAAATACAGTGGATTCGATGTTGGCGTCGCGGTATTGAAATTGGAAATGGGGGAGCTGGGACGGGGAAGAGGGTTGAAGTTCAGGTCGTTAATGGAGATAGTGGGGGTGGACTGATGATGGATCCGAGGTTATTTCGAGTCGAGAAAGAAGGAAAGCACAGGGCAGGTAAATGACCTGGAGCTTGGGGTAGGACTACCCATGCGTCAGCCAATTGACATTCACTTTGCAGTTTCGGTGCCAAGCATAACTGAGAGAGAGCGCGATTGAAGAAACTCGGTACCTAGGTTGGCAACGCAATGAACTTTTGGCGGGTTTGGTCACCAAATTATCTTGGCCTGCGCAGAAATCATACAATTCTTTCTTGACTAGACTAGGAAAACGCGTGCTTTCGTTCAGGTCGGTATACTGGCCCCTGGGGTTGAGGTGGCCTCGAGAGCTGCTGCCGCTGCCGTCATCAGTGAAGGTACGTGGTTGGGTAGGTAAGCACGTAAGGTAGCTTGAAGGGAAGGGAGGTGTTTTAGCGCAGTAGCGTAAAGTGGTGGAGCTGTGGATCAATCCACCACTGGCGGCTAGGTAATTCCGTTGATACCTCTTTTGGGACAAGAATGTGATGTTCTGCTCTTCAAATTACCGCATGAACGAATGCCATTTTGCTCCGAGTACTTGGTGTCATGAGCATAAAGAAAAGTCCTTGTTTTTGGGCATGGATTGAGTAAAGCGGAAGCTAAAGGTGCACCTTCCAAGCTGACAACATGGAAGGTGCTTGAAAATCGAGGGCCGAAAAGGTAACCATGGATTCGGTGTGGGATAGGCTGAACTCGCATTTTGTGGATTTCCGCTGCTGCCAGCGCCTGCCTTCTTTTGGTGGCCCTCTGCCCGCACACTGCGTAACATATCCGGGAAGGCAGTTGGCACGTTGGCTGTTGCCACCTGCAAGAGCAAATTGGTGAAGAAATTGAAGACTGACGATGCGTACAGAGTACGTACCTGGACCTTGCACTTGGCTCCAAACATGTCACGAGCAAAGGGGAACCAAAAACTAGGTACAGAAAACCCAGCAAGGCCGAAAGATATGTTCATCATTCATTTGTCGTGTAGCAGACGGCAATTTGCTGTCTGTTGGTGAGATGGACCTGCATTGCTTTTTTGGAACACATTGCAGCGATCCATCGGCCGAGGGAGTCCCTTTTGTTTGATGAACAGGCGGGACAGATTGAAATAGCTTCTGGCTTTAGTACTAGCATTGCTCAGTTCGGACCCAGAGCTGGCCTGGACGTCTCAGTTTTCCCACTCGCAACTCGCAAGCCCTCGCGAAAAAGGCTGTTGTCTATGGCTGAGAACGGATACTCGGAACATCTGGCACGCTGGGCTGGGTTTAGCCAAGCCCACCACTTTATGCTCGGCGCACTTTTTTTCGCCTCTCGCAAGTCACCATACATCATAGTTGATTATTGGCTATGATTTAGATGGTTGTTATCATTCTTGGGAAAACTCTGCGGATACTTGGCAGCTTGGACAGGAATCTCAATTAAATGGTCCTTCTTTGGTGCCTACTGTGCAACCTCCACTTGCACTCATTGAGGTGCTCAAGGCTCACAGCATCAGCCTGCCCGGAGGGTCTGTTGGGGAATCCGTGGTATCCATGATTTCCGTCACGTATTATGGCCCCACCGTATCGTCGTTGCTATCGTCGTCAGGTCGCAGGCTTGCAGCCACTGAGTGAGCTTGGGGGCATTGGTACGGATCCATTCCGTGGTACTTTGCTGAGTGACTCTAGCCTCCAGCCTCTTTCTCTCCACATGTTCTTGTCAGCTCGACACAGGACCGTTTTCGTCTCCCGTCACCGGCCATGACCGTTGGTCTGTTGGCGTCAGTATACCTAAGTACTCATTGCATCGCTTGCTTGGGCTCCATTTCGCGAGTGAGGTAAAATTGGGCAACACAAAACACAGGTAGTGGAAGTGGTGGTGACGCGGGTAGGTGGTGGTGAGGCATGTGTTGAACATATGTCAAACAGCATCTTTGTCTTTCTGCCCTGCTCTCCACCGCCGTACTTCGTACTTCGCCGCAGTGTGCACCGGCCAACCTTGGTGCTTGGCCTGTCAGGTCAGGAAACCCGAACCCAATGCCAACCTGACGTACTTTTGCCTGGGTACCCTGCCGGGTCTTCAGCCTCTGATTGGCCATTGTATGGTTGCTATTGATCCTCGCCCCCAATGTCTCCTTCAACCATTTTCAATGTTTGATATCTTCCATTTGGCCACCATTTAAGAAGAAGACGAGGAAATGGTCTCGAAAGAATAATGTTCTGCCAGCGTGCAGGTGGCTTAATCATATTCCTACATCACCTTGCTTCACTCGGCCACCAACGTCGCTCCTGTCATTGTCATACGGACATGCCTCTTCATGCCAGCCTCTACTGATCTTGCCTTGGTAACTACCTCAAGGTGATACTTCAGGCTTAGGTGGAGGCCATGTGAGACGGGGGACAGGTCTGCTCCCGTCCGTTGGCATTGGTGCACAACAGGCAGCACCTCTTCGTGTCTCCAAGCGTTTCTTTGCTCCTCGACCTTGGCTTTACCCTCAGTCCAGGTAAGGTACTTTGATCCATGGTATGTGTACGTGCGTGGTGGTGTGCTGGGAAAAGGTTATTGCTTTTCAGATTACTCGTAAGCTAGGTATGTTGTCCTGCCTTGCACAGCCCTGCCTCTGGTTTCTACTTGTTATTATTACTGCCTGGTGTTTATTCTTGTCGATGGTGCTTTACGGGCAGATATCGCAGGGCACTCACTTTGATTCCAAGGCAAGGTTTTGTCTATCCGTATAAGGTAGCCTACGTAGTAAGGTACCTTAGACCCCCATAGCTGAGGTGAGGTACTTTGCCTGCTTTAGGTACCTTACGTGCCTATCTGAGAAGTAGTTTCTTGAGGAACCTTGTCCCCCTCTCCCCAAAGGCTCCAAAAGCCCACCTCATCAAGCCCCCCGGCTTTGCGTCAAGTTGCGCCTTCTGCCACTTGCTGGGTAACGTAGGCTCAGTCAGGTCTGCTCTGTTTCCCTGCCCGACCATCTCAGGCCTGCGTCGCAAGCGACCATCGTGGCCCGCGGAACACTCGCATCCTCTCCCACTTATACCTCCCAGCTCCACCAGGCCATCCCAAATCCCCTCCCCTCCCCTCCTCCACCCCCCGTCAGTCGCGCGCATTCTCTCCCGACCCCGTCGTCCATACACTCCTTCCCCTCCGCCCCCCTCCTTCCTGCTTCACAGGTTGCGTATCCGTACAATCGCCCTCTTTTCCCGCCCGATTACCTTACCTTGCGCGTTCCGTGGAAAATAACACACACCAAATATTTGTTGTTGTTAACGTCCAAAGGCCCCCGTCTTTGGATTATTCCATTGCAGCCTTCTCGCGCCCGTCTTCTAATTGTCATGATGAATTATTAGGGATAACCACCCAAAACTTCCCCTCCGAACTCTATTGACACCAAGAGAGTTTGGGCCGTGTCAGCCCAATTCTGCCGAATCCCTCTCCTTGGCACCCTCAGAGAGCTCGACTGCATCCCTCCAGTCAATTCTCTCCGCGCGCCTTGGTCCTTGGTCTGCAATCTGCACTCTGCACTCTGCGCTCTGCACTTGCCAGACAGACTCTGAGCCAGTCCACACACACTACTTCCACTTCCACTTCCACTACCTACCTACCTATTCGTACTGGACGGCCCCCATACCTTACCTGACCACCTCTCACGCAAGGTACCTTACCATTCCCATCCTCGTCCTCACCCAACCGCAACATTACCGGCGCCGCATCAGACACGAGCAACGCAGCCCACACACCCGGTCGACCCTTCGACACTCACTGCCAACCTTACCTCACTCACCTCCCTTGGCTTTGCTCTGCCTGCGAGTCTGCGCTCGCTCCTGCAACTTGCCTTTCAACCTTAGTACGCCCAGTCCAGCCTGGCCCCATTCGCCCGCTTAACGCGTCCAGTCGAAACCACCGACGACATCAGCTAAAGCGCTCGGCCAGCCCTTTCCCCCTTCCAACTTTCAACCTCCACCATCCAACCGTCCGTTTGGCAACTCATCCCGATCCCGACCGACTGCATCATTTCCTCTTTCGAGTCAACATCGCTTCTCCGCCCGCCATGGACTCCCAGTGGCAGCAGGGCTACGCCGATTCGGCCGGCTCTGCGAGGAGATACAATGGCGGCGGCGCTCAGATGCCTCGTGGGGAGTACAATGGTCAACCCGGTCCGCAAGGCCAGCCTGCCGGCTACAGGCACGACCAGTATCAAAGCCCTGGCGGCATATCCTCTCACGCTGCCAGCGCCGCCGCTTCGCCCATGTCCACCCCCCAGATGCGCGACAACAACGGCGACATCCCCATGCACGATGTTCAGGACTCGTACGCCGGCATGAAATACCCCATGAGACCCCATCACCAGTCTCACCTCTCGGGCAGCCGCTCATCCACTCTCTACTCTCCTCAGGAGCCCTCGGCTGCTGCCCAACGGTACTCGCCAATGGAGGCACTATCCCCCACCTCACCTTACGCGCCAAAGTCGGCGCAAAGTCAGTTCTCGTCGCCTCCGGGCCAACGACAGTCTCCGACGAGGCAGTCCGATTACATGCCCCATAGTCCTCACTATGGTGGCCGTCAACAAGCCCCGCAGCTTCCTCCGATCGCGCCCTATGGCTCCTCCCACGACGGCTACCCGTCCGCTGTCGTTGCCAACATTGACGGTGCCTTTGCAAACGACCCCAAGTCACCCCGTCGCCCTATCCCGCAGGCCATGGTTCGAGGACCTGCGCCCGAGTTCAGACAAATCAGAGCCCCGACGGATCTTCGACCCAAAGTCAATTCTCAACCTCCATTCCGCCGTGCGAACCCCGAAGGAGGATTCATTAGCGTAAGCCCATTTTCCTGGCCGGTCATCCCAGATAATCGCAGTCTACTTACATTTTCCAGCCTCTCCAAGCGCTCACGGTGCATCTGCCTGCTACGTACAGGATATGCAACCCGAACTTCAAATACGAGTCATCGCGAAACCCCCGCCGAGTACTCACCAAGCCGAGCAAGGGTGTCAAGAATGATGGATATGACAACGAAGACAGCGACTATATCCTCTACGTGAACGATATTCTGGGCTCAGAGGAAGCCGGCCACAAGTATGTCCAGGCTCTGATGCCGCTCCGTTTTGGCCGCCTTGAGTCGATACCTCGAGCTGACTTGTAATATAGGAACCGATACCTTATTCTCGACGTTCTGGGCCAGGGTACCTTTGGCCAAGTTGTCAAATGTCAAAACCTCAAGACCCAGGAAGTTGTTGCCGTCAAGGTTATCAAAAATCGCACGGCCTACTTCAACCAGAGTATGATGGAGGTCTCTGTTCTGGACTTGGTACGGCAATTCTCTTGCTCAATATTGACGACAAATTGCTGACCATAGCCCCTTAGCTCAACACCAAGCTCGATAAGAACGACGACCACCACCTTTTGCGACTCAAAGACACCTTCATCCACCGGCAACATTTGTGCCTGGTCTTCGAGCTTCTCAGTGTCAACCTGTACGAGTTGATTAAGCAGAACCAGTTCCGAGGTCTCAGCACGACTCTCGTCCGCGTTTTCGCTCAGCAACTCCTCAATGGCTTGGCCCTATTGAACAAGGCACGGCTGATTCATTGCGATTTGAAGCCGGAGAACATCCTTCTCAAGAACCTCGAAAGCCCCATCATCAAGATTATCGATTTTGGTTCGGCATGCGACGAACGGCAGACAGTCTACACTTACATCCAGTCCAGGTTTTACAGGTCCCCCGAAGTCCTGCTGGGCTTGCCCTACTCGTCGGCCATCGACATGTGGTCGCTCGGATGTATTGTAGTGGAACTATTCCTCGGCCTTCCCTTGTTCCCTGGATCGTCCGAGTACAACCAAGTTTCGCGCATTGTTGACATGCTCGGCAACCCTCAAAATTGGATGATCGAGATGGGCAAGCAAGCCGGCGAGTTCTTTGAGAAGAGGCAGGACGAGTTTGGACGACGAACGTACCAGTTGAAGAGCATGGAGCAGTACGCTCGGGAGCACTCGACCAAGGAGCAGCCCAGCAAGAAGTACTTCCAGGCAAACACTCTGCCAGAGATCATCAAGTCGTACCCTATGCCACGCAAAAACATGAAGCAGAGCGAGATCGACAGAGGTAAGATTCCACGTTCTTACATCACCCTTGGGGATAAATACTAACGCAGCTTGTAGAAATGAATAACAGAATCGCCTTTATCGATTTCGTTCGGGGTCTTCTCAACATCAACCCGCTGGAACGTTGGTCCCCGCAACAGGCCAAGCTCCACCCATTCATCACCCAGCAGAAGTTCACTGGTCCTTTCGTGCCGCCCATGAATCTGAAGTCGAGCTCTCTGAATCGGTCTCCGGCGCCAGGCACCCAGCAACAGCAGCAAGCTGAAGCACTGAGCAAGCAGAGGGCACAAGCCGCTCAGGCACAGGCGAACTCTGCGGCACAGGGAGCTTACGCCCAGATGGCTGCTCAATATCAACAACCCGCACACCCTCAGCAAGCGCCCATGTACAATAATCAACAAATGTACTCTCCTAGCAACAGTCATGCAGCTCAGCCGCCACCCTACGGAGCCCAGCAGCAAGGTGCATATGGACAAATGGTCATGCCTCAACAACCAGCGCAGATGCCTCCTGGGCCGTATGGTAATGCTTCTCAGCAGCCTGGCCTGTATCCTCAGCAGGGCATGCGGCCCGCACGCCAACGTGCCTCAACCATGGAGCAGCAGCAAAGTGGTATTCCAGCCGCCATTCAGCGCGTGGCTAGTCACCTCGACCCAAGCCAGCCGATTCGTTTGCAGCCTAGCCCTGCCTACTACCCCCCTGGTGCCGACAGTGGTATGGCGGGCATGGACAATGCGGCTAATCGGGCTGGTAGACGTGGAAGCCGTGCACAGCAAGGAGGAGGAAGAGGAAACCGAGACTTCATTCGCAACCTTGAGGAGCGAACGCTCGAAGAAGGCTTCATGGGAAGCCAGAATCCCTGGCACTGATGGCCGGGCGACCTTTGATCAAAGTGATTTGAAATACGCATTGAAATTCCTTCGCAGCCTTGGGTCATCAGTCTACCCTTCACATGAGACTATGGGAGGTGAAGTTAGGACAGCCCGGATGTCAATGCTACGGCATTCGCTTGCGCCAGGTCGAATACAGCAGTGCAATCCCTGAACGCATGGTGGCAATTGGACGAAGAAGATACCCGATGGCTCCAACAAGGGAGACCTGTTGCAGGGGACCATCTGAAGAAGACGAGGTTCAAAGCCAGGCTAGATCAGGACGACGACGAAACATACACAAATATGGGAGCTTTGATGGGACGATGCATGAGAGGAAATTGACGGACAGTATTGGGTTGGTGGGGATGGCGGCCTTGACGGCGGAGGAAAGGAAAGGAAGGGCTCGACGGCCAGCAACGACATACGAGATCACGTCCTCTTCACACACCGTTCCTAACTACTTACCTACCTACCTTTGTTCCTAAGGTTAAAAGGGTTCCGGATACAGCAGGTTGGCTTTGCAAGTTGTTTGACTAATGTGGAAGTGACAATGATGTCAAAGGGGCAAGAAGTTGCTGACCTGATCATGTGTGCCTACTCAATCAATGTTCAAGATACCAGGTTTAAACTCCACACTTGTATGGTTCTTAGCTCCCAGCCTACCTTAGGGAAGGGGCTGTTGATGTGGTCTCTTCAGTAAGATGTTGCCAGAGCTCATGTGCATCCTGGGAAGTACGAGCGCATCGACCCCCTTGTCTTTGCACGTACTCCTTATTGGGTGCTTCCATTGAATGGGACCTTCTATCTTCACTATTCCTACATGTTCTACTTTAAGGGGGAAGTTACTGACTAGGTGTCACTCTCGCCTTCCATGAGGTTACGAAAAGGATTGAGATCAGTTCCTCCTTGTTTGACACCTTTGCATTCGTATTCTACTCCTCAATCACCTTCATCATTGCCCACCCAGCTTTGGCACCCATCACTAAGACAACAACCTTTGATTCCTTGGATTTCTCTGTTGCTTTTACAATCTAGCATCTACCCACAACGGGGCCACTCATCAGTCCCCGAGCTGCTGTTTGCTGTTACCTCAAACATCCCCAAATTCCTTCGTCGACGTCCCTCACGATAGTCATGGCGCATCCTCTCTTGGTAATGAAGCAGAGGGATGCTGTTGGCCCCAAACCACTCTCGAGACCTCAAGCCAAACGCCGCTCGGAAGTCACGCCGAGGAAAGACTTGTCGTCAATGCAAGGAAGTTCCGATTCGGAGCCCAGTCTCAAACGCGACGGCAGCACAAGAAACAGGCATCGCGCCTCCTTGAGCAACTTATGGCACAAAACTGTCTCCCGTATGCCGACCTTGAGCAAAAAGGATGCCTCGAAAGGACAGATTGCCAGGGCAGCTCATGCCTCCTCAACAGATCAGTCCGATTCGCAGACCGACGAAGGTGAACAGCATCAGATCGACAAGTCTGCAACTAGCAAGGACGATATCACGTCATCCCAGAGGAAAAAAGGTTCGATTGAAACCCAAGCACTCATTGATTGTCTGCTCTTGAATGCTGATTTCTGTTATTTTTAGGTTTGTTCAAACGCCGAAGCCTCGGAAACATATTTGGTACCAGCAGCCGAAAAACACTCAAGAGATACATCAAGTCTGAGGAGGCTCTCGCGACCTCTGTGGGGTCTGATGTAGAGACGCCAGTCCATGACAGGTTTTCATCTGCCTCGCTCGTCGCTCCAGAGCTGCCAAAGGTGCGGGCATCAGGGAACTTTGAGAAGGAGTGCGTGATCATCACTGGAGAGCCACCCACAGTGCAACCGCCGATTTGCCTAGGAAAGCATACGCCCCAATTACTGAAAATACAGACGGGAGATGGCCAGCCCCCTTTCCTTGATCTAGGTGATGCCCTTGAGGATCGAGTTCCGGATGTTTCGCTATCAGCATTGGCTTTGGCCAAGCGACCTAGGTCTTTGGATCTCAAGAAACTCCTGGTAGACGCTTCGGCAGCAGCAGATCTGAACTTCATCACATCGGCCCTGGACAAGGAACACGGTAAGGAAAAGCAGACATCGAAGCCATCCTCCACTGATCAGCATGTGCACTTGGGGTCTGGAACACCGCGACCAGTCGAGGCGAAAAACCCTCTCGAGGTGGCCAACAAAGCCTCGGAGGCGGAGTCTGGGAACATGGTTGCGAGCATCAAGACGACTGATGCAGCCTCCGCTGTCATCCAAGCTGAGATGTCCAACAAAATTCTACCTGCAGTGAATACCGAGGCGACTGATCCACCCTCTATTATCTTCCCGGTCGAGATGTCCAACAGGATTGTACCCGTGGTCAATACTGCGCTGACTAGATTTCCTGGAGAGTCCGACTCTCGAGATGCTGTTGCCAGCACAGAGGCGACTGGCCCGAGAATCAAAGAGGTAACCGTTCGAGACGCCGGGTACACTCCGATCGAGAAGCCGGATTTTGAACGATCAACGAGAGAGCACATATTGAGGTCGTACGCTCAAATTTCTGGCAAGTATGGACCTTTCTATCCTACAGCAAGGATGCGGACATCAATTGACCTTGTCTGGCAAGATGGCATAGGCATTACCTCCCATGGACTGAATGCTAATGCTTTATGCAGAGAAGACTGGGAGAGCGATACTACTGTAGCTGGACTGGAAAAAGATGATGTTCCGGACACAAACCTCATGCGCAAACAATCGGACGATGGACAACTCCAAGAATACCTATGTTTGCCACACAACGTGAGCGAAGGTGAGGCTGAGAGGAAGCCTAAATACGGCGAATGGCTGTCGAGGAGCGCTATTCCAGTGACAGATAACTCGACAATGACTCGCGAAATACATAGAGAGACGATGGACACAGGCCGGCTCGCCGTGATCCCGGATATGACCCTAGAACTCCAGTCTACGAAGAGGAACGGATACAGCATTATCTACCCGCCGAACTACGTTTCTAAACCTCGGGTTACCTCGATGAATGCTTTGGTCATGGAGCCTCTCCTCAATACAGCAAGCGAACGCCATCGTGTCATATCCGATGGCAAAGGCAGGGCTATCACTAGCAATGACACCAGCAGTTTGAGCGTTGATTCAGGTGGCTCAGAGATCCGAAGGAGAAAAACAAAAAGCATGACGTTCATCAAAAACATTGATACTTCTTCTCTCGACAATTCTTACAATCAAATGCGGAAGTTGGCCTTTCCTGGAGACTCAATCGGTGGCCCTGAAAGCCGGTTTGAGACATCAGTCTAGTACGATGGAGGCAGCTGGGACGTTTGTGAGGACTACAGTGATGTGGATGAGGTTTTCTGACTTTTTGGTTTTCGGTTTCTTTCTTTAATCAGCTCAACTTTTCGTCTATGGACATGCGAAAGGCACTGAGGGGTCTAATAGGTGGTCTTCAAGCCCCGATCATGGTGGCTCTTTGTAAAGTAACGTTTAAACCAAAACAAATGCCCTGGCTCAAACATTGTTGGCGTTGAACGTCCAAAAAAGTAAAAGCCACACCCGTGAGTGCCATGGTTGCAGTGGCTTTGGGTTGGGAGCTCCGACTCCAGACGGCCCCATTGCAGAAAGAGGTACGTACCGAACCATCCAATCGATTGGAGACCCCTGGAACACGCTCCCATGGGCCATGGCCCTCTCTATCCGTACCTTTAGGTACCTAGTGTAAACCAACGCGCCCAGGTCAGCCTCAAGTTGTTACGCCTGTCCCATGCTCGTCAGGGTCTTTGCAAGGTACTTCATCCATTCTTCCACTTGTCTTTGCCCGCCTTCTCGAATCAAAGTGTCTTTTTTACAGCCACGAACCTATCGGCGACCAAAGCAATCTACCTTAGGTAGTCCTTTTCTCACTCCTTTCTCAACCCTTCACCCTTTCCGCCTTCGATCTCGCAGACACCCCTACGTTTTCGACAGTTGCGACTAGCACACTTAACCTCATTCCATCCCTCCGACCGAAACTCTTTGCCCAGGAGATCAATCAACATGGCGAAGGTAGCAACCGACTTTGAGAAGATCATCCAACAAGGTATAACCTTTTTTTCATTTACTATGTGATTGGACGCCGCCCATTCAGAACGGAACGCTGACCAGGGCGATATTCTGCTTCGCTATGCAGGACGAGAGAGGAAGAAGAACGAGGCGCTGGCACAGAAGATCTTCTCCAAGGATAGGCGGCAGAGCGCGCCTTCAAAGCTCAAGCCCGGTGCGGGGCCGTCGCTGGCTAGCCGAGTCGGCATCACCAAGAAGGTACGCATTTAACTCATCTCATCGTTTGTTTCTAGTTTTGAGCAAATCGACGAACGAGCGTTCGCTAACGTTCTTTTCAACTCGCAATCAGCCGCGCACCGCATCCCTTGGTCCCAAGGCCCTTCCCGCTGGCAACATCGATGGCGACTGGACACATGACCTCCACGGAACGGTGAATGGCGGCGGTAACGGCGGCAGAGGACGAAACAACAACGGCAATAGCGCCGGCGCAGGCGGCCTCGCGTCGCGCATCTCTGCGCCGGGGGGAGGAGGAGGAAGGTCCGCGCCCACCGCGGCGTCGATGGGCAACGGCAATAACAACAGCAGACGACGCGCCGAGCAGAAGGCGGCGAGAGTCGCTGCCGCGATGGAGCGCTCGGGCGCCATGGCCGACGTTCAGATGACCTCCGTCGCGAACGTGGTGTCCACGGGACCGGTGATCAAGCAGGGCCTCTCTATCAGAGGGCTGGCGGGGCCGTTTGCGGTGATGGCGCAGAACTTTGCGCCGGGGACGACGGCGGCGGACATCGAGAGCGCGATGACGCCCGTAGGCGGGGAGATGCTGGATTGTCGGATCATCAAGACGACGCCTCTGATTCTGGCGGAGATGGTCTTTGCGACGAAGGAGGGCGGTGATGCGGTTATTTCCACATTCAACAACCAAACGGTAAGAAGCCCTGGCCCCCTACCTCTCTTTCGCATCTGCTATGCACGAGATGACGGCAAGCACACTTTGGGATTTATTTACTGATTTGAGGGCGACTACAGGCCGATGGACGCATCATCAAGGTCTACCCCAAGCCCGGCGGCTACAAGGAGCCCACTACCCGCCCCGCGAACGGCCGTTCGACATCCAGCAACTTTGTCGACGGCATGAACGGATTTCCCGAGGCCACGCAGGAGGACAACGGCGGCTTGTACAGCGACGACCTCGTTCGCAAGGCCGGCAACAACAACAATAACGCCCGTAGAGGACGCAACTTCAACCGTGGCGGCAGACGATGAAGGGAGGGGCGAGATGACACGATGAGAAACATTTCCGGTCGGTGCTAGACGGCAAATTATGGGCACAACACTAAAAAAAGAAGACGTCGTATCCATAGGGGTTTCTACTTGGGCGTTACATTTTTCGAGAGCGGGCTTGGGAAAGGGTCGGAAATACCTAGGCGACTCCATGGGTATGTTGATTCTGCTCGTAAAGGGGGGCGAGAATTTACAAATCGGGGGTGGATCTCTTCGCAAGGAAGGGGAAGGTTCTTTTTTCGAGGGGGCGCAGATCTCTCTCTCATCCAGGGAGGCGCGTGTACTATTAGATCAAAAGAGACTTTGCCATTTTTTTCTTCTTCAGTAGACTTTCGTTCTCTTCTTCGCGATTTTGCAATTCAGGGCGTCTTCGAGGAACGGCGGCGTTGGTTCACGGTTCAAAGCTTAGAAATGTGCATTGAGATTGGGGTATTTGTTCTATAGATGTGACGAGGCTTGAGTCGTTCTATATCTTTGGTATGTTTGCATGGCTCAGATGTTGTTTTTACATGGTAGTGTACAGTTCATAACAATGATGTTTTTACAAGTCCAACATCTCTTGTTCGTCCTTCTTTGCGGGCGTAGCATCCTGTATACGTTGGTTCGGGTCGGTAAACTCGACTGCGAACCGGTTCAGCTTGCTCCGCTTCTCCTTGAGGCTGATGAACGCTTCTTCATCGGCAGCGAGCGCCTTCTCGTTGACGACCTTGTCGACGGCGCTAATCATCTTGCGCGCGAGGTCAGCAAGGTCCTCGACGGCCTCGGCGCGTTTCCGGGCCACGTCCCTGCCCTGGGACTTGATCAAGGCCTCCTTGGCCGCGGAGAAGGGCTGCCAGAGATTTTCCACGGCGGCGGCGAGTTGCTGGGCGTAGCCGCGCTTCGCGCCCTTGGTATCGCCCGCCTTGTCCATCTGGCGGAAGTTGAAGTGGCAGATGATGGCAGCCTTCATGTAGATGAGGAGGGCGCGCACGTCTACAGGGGTTTTCTGAGCGGCGCCGTGGGCGAGCATCGTGTTCAGAATGGACGTGGCGTCGGAGAATGCGTTTTGGCTCATGTTGTTGTTGATGCAGGCGGAGAGGGCGCGGCGGTAGACGATGGGAGGAACAGGTTTGTCGGAGGGCATCTGCTGTACAGCCTTCGCGGCGTCTTTACTTGAGCCGCTGCGCTCGTAGAGACGAATCATTTGGTGGTAATTGTCGGTGTCGGGGTTGACGCCGTAGTAATGGACAAAGAGGTCCCAGTATTTCACGCCCAGCTTGGTCTGCTTTTGCTCGCGAACGATAGCGAGGACGAGGGATAGGGTGTTGGCCCGCGGTACGGCATATTTGATCTTTGGTGAGAGGACTGTGGCTTTGCGCTTTGCGCTACCGGTCGCGCTGATGCCCTTCATCTCGTCGTTGATGCGGTGCGCATAGTCTCCCGTGGGCGTGCGGTTGTAGTTCCGGACGCTCATGGTCTCTTCGAGCATGGTAAGAATCTTGCCTCTGTCCTTAGTACCTCCGAGGAGCAGAACACGACCCATGGCGCACACCAGGTCCTCGTCGATCTCCAGCTTCCCGTTACGCCAGTTGCGCATGACCTCCTCCCATATATGCTTGCATCGTGTGATCGTCTGCTCCACCGTATCGATGTGCTGTTGTAGAGACTGCCCTTTGCGATTGTCCTGATTCTCAGCCTCTGCGCGCAGCGTGTTGATGATGGCTGTGTACGTGTAAGCAGTGTTCTTGCGACCTGACTTGGCATCGGCCGAGTCGGCCAGCGTGAACATGTTTTCGACGTCGCCTGCGCGGCCGCAACACTGGATCACGGCGTTGACATGTATCGAGTTAGGCTTGATCTTTGCGTCCTCCTTGAGCATCGTTTTGTACAAAGCCAGGGCCTTGGCACTGGCGGCCTTCGGTTCGCGGGACTTTGCACAGCCGGTGAAGATGATGGTAAATGTCTGTTCGTTGGGTGATTGGCCGCGCTTCTTCATGTCGTTGAAGAGGCTGATGGCAAAGTTGACTCGCTTCAACTCCATGATCTGGTACTTGATAAGGTGGTTCCAGGCCACGACGAGGTCGGTATCCTTGGCGCTGGCGCGCTGGACAAGGAGAAGGGCCTCATCGAAGCGACCCTTCTGGAGTGTGGCCTCGACATGCTTGGCGATGTTGAAGGGGTTTTCCAGGTGCTCAAGATGTTTCGACACAGCCCAGTCTAGCTTCTGTTTCCTCCTCTTTTCTGCGAATTCCTCGCTGCTGCCGTGGGTGTCCTTTTCTATTTCCTTTCCTTCTTTCAAGAACGCTCTGCCTGCGGCAGTCGTGGGTGTTGCCTTTCGATGGGCAAGTCGGCGTTGGCTGCCCGGCGGGCCACGTTGAAGGATGGGTAAAGTAGAGGATAGTTCGGAGAAGGAGGCCTTTCCCGACGAGGATTGAAGCGCCCGTGTGAGGCAAGCTTTGCAGGATAGCATTCTCGAGGGTCTTTTGCGGCGGAAGGCTATGTGGTTCTGGAGCTTTACACGAGGACCTCCTTCAATCATGAAAGCGCCTCCGGGAAATTTTGCGACTAAACTACCTTACCCAAGCTCTCTTATCTTATCGGAGAGCTTGCTCCCATGCCTGTGCCTGCGTCTTTGGGGCGTCCTGCATGGCTTAGCGTGTCGCGCAGAACATTGACGTTGGTTGCGGGGCGGGCCTCTTTATGAGTGCCCCCACTTTGTAGTGTTTAGCGCAGACTCGACCAATTGGCCTGACGGCAATTAAGCAAAAAACGCGTCGCCAAACACGAACGCGACTTTCATTGCGCGCCGCCCCTGGCTGAACGGCCAAATTATAGTGCACATGTATCCCGTGCTTTGTGTTATCCCACCCACAACAGGCCTACTCCGTTCCTCGATACAAACACACATTGACACGCCAAAACTTTCAGTGCCTATCGCCTGTGCCGAATAATTTCTTGCTCTATACGATGAATTGAGTGTTCATTCGAGAACTTGAACTTTCCCTCTCATACTCGACACACCAGCCCTGCCCACCATGCCCAAGGTCGACAGACGCTCGAAGCTGGCCGAGCTTCGGGCTCTGCGAGCGTCCGGCAAGAGAGCCAACTACGAGGTTGAGGAGGTCGACGAGCTTTACGAAGAGGTTGACGAGAACCAATACAAGAAGATCATTAGAGACCGTCTGGATCAAGACGATTTCGTTGTTGACGACAATGGCGAGGGATATGCCGACGATGGTCGGGAAGAGTGGGATCGTCAGCCCCAGTACTATTCGGAAAGCGATGAGGACATGCCAATAAAGGGTCGTGGTAGGCCAAGCAAATCCTGTAAGAAAAAAATCCAATCCGTATACTTGCAAGATCTATCATACTGACACTCAGTAGCAAAAAAGCAGCGCGAAGAAGAAGCGGCCAAGCGAGATGCCAACGACAGAGACATTAGCGAATACTTCACAAAGGGTGCTACCAAGACACAAGCCAAGCCGAAGGTTCGTCATATGCGCCCAAAGCCAGAGAGAAATTGTACTAACAACAGCCGTAGGTCGCCAAAACGAAAGAAGACGATGATTTCCTTGCCGATCTCCTGGGCGAGGTCGACGCCAACATCCCCGCGCCTGCGTCCCGGTCAGCCAAACGTAACAGATCCCCCGAGCGTCGCCGAGCCCGTGTGCTTTCTCCCGCCCCCGAGACCAGGACGCGCCTTACCAAGAGAACAAAGACTGTGGATGACAGACTATCGTCTCCTACATTCGACAACTCAGCAGTCGATGATGGCTACTTGCCCCCTATGGGTGACGATAGAGATGATAGCCCCGCTCCGATCACTGTAGACGATGTTCCCATGTCCGAAGACCCCGCGCCATCATCACCCGCCGCTAAAGTAGCCCAGCGCAAGGCAATGGTCAAGCCGGAGCCCCTGGACGAGGAAGACGATGATATGATGGAGGTTGCTCACGCTGGTGCGGTCACTGCTGCTAGTGTCAACATCACAGGGTCAAGACCACCGAAGAAGCTTGTCAAGCCCGATCCCTACCCTACACCTTTGAGCTCGTCCCCGGTCAAGCCTGCCGCCCCATCAGTCGACTCGTCAGCGTGGAACAACATCACCGACCAACTCAATGTTGTCTCAAGCTCTCCTGCGGAGGCTAGAACCGTCGGCAAGATAGACTATAAGGATGCTATTGAGGAGGACGGCAGTCTCAACATGTTCTGGACTGACTACACCGAGGTCAATGGCAGTCTCTGCCTCTTTGGTAAGGTCTTGAACAAGAAAACTGGCTTGTACGTCAGTTGCTTCGTCAAGGTCGACAATATTCTCCGCAAGCTGTTTTTCCTTCCTCGCGAGACCAAGGTCGAGGGCGGGGAAGAGACAACCGAGGAAGTCGAGATGATGGACGTCTATTCTGAGATTGACGCTCTCATGACCAAGATGAACGTTGGCATGTTCAAGATCAAGGCATGCACAAGAAAGTACGCATTCGAGCTTCCAGGCATTCCCAAAGAGGCTCAGTACTTGAAGTGTCTCTATCCCTACACAAAGCCTGTCATTGATAGTACGACTACGGGAGACACATTCTCGCGTGTCTTTGGCACAAACACGGCGCTATTCGAGCAGTTTGTGCTGTGGAAGAACATCATGGGCCCCTGCTGGCTGAAGATTACCGATGCCGACTTTGGTGCCCTCAAGAACGCTTCTCACTGCAAGCTCGAAGTGCTCGTCGAGCACCCCAACATGGTCTCGACATTGAGCGACTCTGACAACCTCGATACACCTCCCCTGACCTTGATGAGTATCGCGTTGCGAACTGCCTTCAACCCTAAGGCCAACAAGCAAGAGATTCTCGCAATCAGCGCTCGCATCTACGAGAAGGCTTCCTTGGCTGATCCAACTCCGGCCGAGAAGCTTCCCTGCCGGACATTCACCCTCATTCGTCCTCATGGGACGGCATTCCCCCTCGGATTTGAAAATATGGCAAAAGACAGGAAGAGAGGCCTCATCAAGACGTTCCGCCAAGAGTCAGAAATCCTTATGTTCTTCCTTGCTCAGCTGGATGTTGTGGATCCAGACGTGATTCTAGGACATCAGTTGGAGGGAGTCGACTATAGCGTTCTGCTCAACCGTCTCCACGAGAAGAAGACACACCAGTGGTCTCGACTCGGTCGACTCAAGCGAACGCAATGGCCAGCTTCCATGAACAAGGTTGGTGGCAATGTCTTCGCCGAGAGGCAAATCATGGCTGGTCGTTTGCTTTGCGACCTGGCCAATGATGCTGGAAAGTCTGCCATGTTCAAGTGTCAATCTTGGAGCTTGACAGAAATGTGCAGTCTTTACTTGCCGGGTAACAACCGCAGACAGGACATCGATAATGAAGCTGCGCTCAAGACATGGGCAACCCAGTCCAAGGATGGTATGATGAACTACGTCTCACACATGGAGGCTGATACCCACTTCATCACCGCACTGGCTTTACAGGTCCAGCTTCTCCCCTTAACTAAGGTCCTCACCAACTTGGCCGGTAACTCATGGGCGAGAACCCTTACCGGAACTCGTGCCGAGCGCAACGAATACATTCTGTTGCATGAGTTCCACCGCAACAAGTACATTTGCCCTGATAAACAAACTTTCAGGGGTAGAATGGCCCAGGAAGAAAATGAGGCGGAAGAGGGCGACGGCAAAAAGAAGGATAAATACAAGGGTGGTCTCGTTTTCGAGCCCGAGAAAGGCCTCTACGACAAGTTCGTCCTAGTCATGGACTTCAACTCTCTGTACCCCTCCATCATCCAGGAGTACAACATTTGTTTTACGACTGTGGACAGATCTGCTATGGTATGCACATTTACTTCGTCCCCCTCTAACGACTAGACCAGACGCTAACTCACGCAACAGGAACAAGACGAAGAAGCTGTGCCAGAGGTTCCTAAGGACCAGGAGCAAGGCATCCTACCCAGACTCATTGCTACACTTGTTGGCCGAAGAAAGCAAGTCAAGTCCTTGATGAAAGACAAGAGTGCAACTCCAGAGCAGCTTGCCACCTGGGATATCAAGCAGCTTGCGCTGAAACTTACGGCCAACTCTATGTACGGATGTTTGGGCTACACCAAGTCCCGTTTCTACGCGCGCCCTCTCGCCGTCTTAACTACGTACAAGGGCCGTGAGATTCTGCGCAGCACCAAGGAGCTCGCCGAGAGCAATCAGCTCCAGGTCATTTATGGAGACACGGATTCCGTCATGATCAACGCCAACGTCGAGAATGTGTCCGATGCCTTCAAGGTCGGTCAAGAGTTCAAGAAGGCTGTCAACGAACGGTACAGACTCTTGGAGATCGACATTGACAACGTTTTCCGCCGAATCTTGCTTCAGGCCAAGAAAAAATATGCTGCCATCAATTTGGTTGAAAAGGATGGCAAGTTCATTGAGAAGATGGAAGTCAAAGGTCTCGACATGAAGCGTCGTGAGTACTGTGGCCTGTCCAAGGAAATCTCGAGCAAGATCCTCGACGAGATTCTGTCCGGCAACGAAACCGAGAAGTCGATCTCGCGCATCCACGAATTCCTCAGAGAGATCTCTGGTAAGATGCGTGAGCAAGCTATTCCGGTGCAAAAGTACATCATCTTCACACAGCTCGGCAAGGCCCCCACAGAATATCCCAACGCGGACTCTATGCCCCAGGTCCAAGTTGCTTTGAGGGAAATTGCCAAAGGAAAGAACGTTCGCCGTGGCGATGTTATCTCCTATGTCATCACTGGCGATCCTCAGAGCTCCGACCCTGCCCCGAAGAGAGCCTATTCTCCCCCAGATGTCATGAAGGCTGACTCTGGCCTGTCACCGGATGTCGAGTGGTACCTTGGCAAGCAAATCTTCCCCCCAGTCGAGCGTCTCTGCGCGAATATTGTTGGAACCTCGAGCTCTCAGCTTGCAGAGTGCCTTGGCTTGGACATCCGCAGGTACAAGTCAGTCCACGACCAGCAACAAGGTGGAGGAGGCAACGATGTTGAGATTCACCCCATGGAGTCACAAATTCCCGACGAAGTGCGTTTCGCCGAATGTGCCCGCCTCTCCCTTCGCTGCAGGGCATGCAAGAAGACTTCCGTGTTCGAGGGTCTGCTCGCACAGCCTGACCGCGTCTCGGCATCAGGGGTGCTTTGCGACTCTTGTGGCGCCACCATCTCAACGCTCTCGATCGTAGCCCAGCTTGAACATGCCCTCCGAACTCAGACGGCACGCTACTACGAGGGCTGGCTGGTCTGCGATGATTCCGCCTGCGGCATGCGCACCCGCCAAATGAACGTCTACGGCACGCGCTGTCTAGGCCCCAAGGGCCTTGCGCGGGATTGCCTTGGTCGCATGCGCTATGAGTACACCGAGAAGGCAATTTACAACCAACTCGTATACTACGCCAGTCTCTGGGACGTTGAAAAGGCCAAGACCAAGGCTTCAGCGGAGAATGGGAACGACATTCCGCGCGAACACAAGGATAAGGTTCTCGCGATGGCGGAGCACAACCGCGTTCGATTTGGCACTGTCAAGGGCGTAGTGGACAAGTATCTCGACAAGTGCGGTAGGCAATGGGTTGCCATGGATACTCTGTTTGCCAAGCTGGGCTTCAACAAGCTTCTTGCTGCAGCATGAGGCGACGTGCCACCACACGGGGTTTGTACACAAAGGACAGCTGATTATGATTGGGATGGGAAGTTTGGGACATGACGGAAGCTCCTGAGTTAATTCGGAGGCTGGCTTCTATGTTCTGGCGTGGTATTTGAACTTGCTTTTAGAGGAAGATGATGATATGACTTTGGGCGTTGGAGAGCTCGGAGTTTCTGGTTGGACTTGGGGAAATCGAGGCGGGCAAACCTAGCCTCTGGATATGTTTTTTGTTGTTGTTGACGTAGGAAACATGGTTAATATCATTTCAAAGCGCTTATTCACATGACCTTATCCTTCCTGCCACTGCATATGTAGTTCATGATCTTCGTACCCCGGAGATTGGAAGTTCAATGTCGACGACTGCTCTCTCGCGTTCCCGTTCATCAATATGTCGATATGATAGACGTTCGAGGGACTGAGTCGATCGTTTACCAATGCAGGTTGCCTTAGCTTGAATCCATGAGGAACTGTCATCATATGCACACGATCACGGATTATGAACACAAGAAAGATTGTGAACTATGTAGTCTCTTCTTTTTTAGGGCTAGGTCCACTGGCAAGCTCGCTGCCGAATTAAATGTACAAAGTCAGAGAAAGCATTAGGTCCCTCCACGCCCGGTCGATTATCCCCTCACCAGTCCTGCTTCCGCCGGCGAAGATGCCTAGACCAAGGGAGCAAGCCACTGTTGGCGACCAGTGACCTCAACCCCCGAGTCCTGGCCCTTTTACCGAGCACCTCTCTGCCTTCATAGTGGACAGAGATGGGTGCTGGACCAGTCCACTCCCTCCCATGACCGGGAACCACGCCCAAAATAAGTGTTGGTGACGTCGAGAGACCTGCCAGTGATGACCAAGCCAATGCCAAAAGGATGAAAAAAAGACGAAAATCCTCTTCTGAACAGATTCCTAAATCCCCTTTTTGCATTCGGAACAGGATCACGACCTTGCCGACGCTCCTGCGTATGCTTTTTGATGTCCCGCCTTAAAGAGCAAATTCGCGCACTCTCATAACATGCGCATGAGCTCTCCGTTGCTGGATGGACTCTCCCGGGGTCGTCTCTTCCTTCGTACGTCTGGCCTGTCTGCATTCAACCATTTTCCTAGCCACTGGTCCCCATGTAGCCAGGCACGTAGAAGAAGACCCATAAAGCGTCGTGAACTCGTATTAGAAAAGGAATAAAACACGTTGTGTGTTTTGTGTTTGAGCGCATCATGAAGTTGATGCGATCGGGTTGAAGAGGGCCGAATGTGGAAATGAAACATCCGGAGTCCGAAAATGGAGAACCTCTCTTCCTGGTGAGAGGTCATCTCAGTGTGAATCGTCTATGTCGGTATTCTTTCGAGGTATCATGGTCCGCAGCAAAGATCAGGGTAACTTTTGAAACACGAACTCTGAAAGCCCTCTGTGTAAATGCACCAAACAGCCCCCGCCCCCTGTCTATTTGCTTAAATGCAATGACTTATTGGAAAAGGAAATACTCGGCTACTCTCATTTGCTCTCGGCAACGGAGCTGTCGGGAACAGCCTTGGACAGTGCAGGGGAGGCAGCAGTCGAAGGAGGAGAAGCCGGGGTTTCGCTGTCCAAGTTGGCGAGTGCACTATCATAATGGTTAGTTATGAACTAGGATGATTGTTAAAAGCGCGGAATAGCTTACCTGAATGCGTTTTGATGTTGGGTGGTGGGGGGAGTGCCGGTGCGGGATGAAGCACCAGAGTCCTCGCCAGGGCGGCCAAGAGAGCCACCAGGTCCGAGTCTGCGTCCGCTGTTGCTGCGAGAGCTGAACATGGAGGTGGGGCCAAGAGAGATGTTGCCACTGGCAGCTCTGCTCGTCGAGCCCTTCAGGCGGCGCAAGTCGTCCATACCGACTTGGTTGGACTGGGCCTGCATGTAGCCAGAGGAGAAGTTGCGAGAATCGCCACGGCCGACATTGGGGCGGCCGCCAGGACCGCGTTGGCTGCCGCCACGCTGGTTTTCCATTGCCTTTTGGGCAGCAGCTGCCTCAGCCTACGGAAGGAGTTAGTAAACAGTATTTTGTAAGGATGGGGGTTGGGGTATCATACCTCTGCGCGAATCTCATCAAGAGTCTTGGGGCCCTTGTTTGCCTCCTTAGAAGCCCAGCCAGCCTTGCGAAGATCGACGACGTCCAAGAGCATGAACTTCAATCTGCTGGGAAGCTCGGGCATGTCCATCATGTGCTGGATGCGGTCGAAGTAGACGTTCATCAAGGCCTTGCCCTTCTCCGAAGCGTCAAGGTTGTTACCAATGGTTCTCAACAACTTGGAGAGAGACTCTATCTCAGCCTCGTCGGGGATACCCTCGTAGTCGACAAGCTTGCGAACACACTCGTGCATGATGCGCTCCGTCAACATGCCAAGCTTGTATAGCTCACCAATGAATTGGACGAGACCAAGACCGCGACGCTTGGCGGCAGCGGCGATGTAGTACTCGTCGGAAAGCATGGCGGCCTCGTTCGTTTGGGGCTTGCCCTCGTCTTCCTCGGGCTTGGTGGGCAGGTTGACCTTCCAGCCGCGCTCGAACTCCTCCTGACAACGGTTGAGGAGGTACTTGCGGAACAAGGCACCTCCGCTAACAACGACACCGTTCTTGTCCTTGATGTTCTCATCGCGGATCTCAGGGCTCATAGTGTCAAGCATACGCTTGCAGAACTTGGCGTACATGGAAGCCCAGTGAGCCTCGTCGGTGGCCTTCTCGAAGGTGAGCTGAATCACCTGGCGGAGAGTGCGGCCATCGGACTCGTCCTTGGACTGGCCCGCGATGGCCAGAATCTGATCGGCAATCTTGTCGAACTTCTCCGGGGTCATCTTGTTGAGAGCAGCCTTGACCTTGCGCTGAACCATCTGAGGATCCATGTGGTCGCCGCCAGGAGTAGGGCCTGAGGCTGAGGGGCCCTTGCCGACGCTGGTAGGCTTCCAGCCTGAAGCGGAGACAGTGATGGGCTTGAGCTCCATGCCAGCCGTGAGAGGCATGGTCTTGGCTGCCTGCGCATCCTTGGCGTTGTAGTCGTTACGTCTGCTGCCACCACCTCTGGCAGAGCGAGTACGGGGAGAGTTGGGACCCATGTTGGAGGAAGAGGGTGTGCGGTTCACCATCTGAGGACCAGGGAATTGGCGGAAAGTGCCCATGTTGCCAACGGGGCCGCCACCTGAGCCCATAGCTGCGTTAGCCATAGCGAACCGTTCAGCAGAAGTCGTGCCGCGGACGTTGTTAGAGGGACCACGGAAGCTGCCCATAGCACCGACTTGAGGTGCAGCGGCGCCACGTTGGGAGCCACCACGACCGGAACCAGCACGAGGGGTAGAAGCAGAACGAGAACCATCGTTGTCACCAATGAGAGACTTGACTTGCTGGTGGAACTCTGTGGAAGGCTGTTCGGTGAAGACCTTCTGGAACTGCAGCAAGAACTGAGCATCGTACTTGAAAGTCTTGCCCTTCTTGGCGACGGCAGCGTTCAAGGCAGGGTTGGGGGAGCTGATACCGGCAGGGTACAGGTCTTGGTTCATGACAGTCAAGAATCGAGCAGACTTCAAGGACTGAAGAGCAGCGCTGGGTTGGGGCGGCTCAACAGGCTTAGTGTTGAGGGGAGCCAAGTTAAGAGGCGACGGCTTGGGGCCGCGCTTCTCGGTGGGAGTAGCCTTGGGAGCGGAAGCCTCGGTGGGGGTCGAAGCCTTGGAGTCACCGATGCTGAGGTTGGACAGCTTGTCGGCAACATCGCCAACCTTTGCGGGCTCGCTGTCACCGGTCTTTCCGGCGAGCAGCTCGGCGACGGAAGGGGTGTTTCCGCCCTGTGCACGCTTTCTCTCCTTCTCCTCTTCAAGACGTTCCATCTCGCGCTCAGCCTCACGGAGCTTGCGGTCAGCCTCAGCAGCGTTCGTAGCCTTGTTTGCCTCGTCAAGCTTCTTCTGTGCCTCCTTCTCGGCTTGCTTCTTGGCGGCGTACTCGGCGGCAGCCTTCTCGCGACGGGCATCTTCCTCCTCCATTTCGCGAATCATGCGTTCCATCTCGTCCTCCTCATCGGCGGCAGCGGCGGCAGGCTTCTCGGCAGGCTTCTCAGCCGCCTTCTCAGCCTCCACCTTGGCCTTGGCCTCAGCAGCCTTCTTCTCTTCTTCAGCAGCAGCGGCCTTGGCCTTCTCTTCCTCGTCGGCCTTGCGCTTCGCTTCGGCTTCTTCCTCAGCCTTGCGAGCGTCTTCCTTTGCCTTCTCCTCAGCCTTGCGGGCTTCTTCCTTGGCCTCGGCAGCCTTCTTCTCTTCATCATCGGCCTTGGCCTTAGCATCGGCCTCTTCCTTCGCCTTGTCCTCGCCACCCTTGGCCTGCGCGATCTTGGCTCTCAGCTCATCCTGAATCTCTTGACGAGTCTTGGGAGTAGCCTGGCTGTCTGTGCGAGCGTGGGAGGGCGTTGCGGACTTAGGGGGAGGAGTAGGTGTAGAGGAGACGATGGGTGGAGTCTTGGACTGCTGGACGATAGGAGGGGCAGGCGACGACGGAGTCTTGATACTCTTCTTGAAGTCAACCGCTTCGCCGGCAGCGTTCTTGATGACAATGGCGGCACTCTTCTTGGGGCGAACGAAGTTGCCAGATGACGCGACAACTGGGGGCTTGACCTGTGCGTTCTGAGGCTGGGGAGTACCAGACACAACAACAGGCTGGCTCGGCTGGCCAGTGCTAGACGAGGGACGCTCAGAGTGAGAGGAGGTGCGTGACATGGCAGTCGGCGCAGGCTGGTGGAATGCAGGCGGGGCGTAGCCAGGCTGGAAAGCCGGGGGCGCTCCAGGCGAGGGCATATATCCCATCTGGTTGTAGTAGATGGGCCGGCCAAACTGGTCGAACTGATGGTTTGCCTGGGGAGGGTAGCCGTACTGTGCCTTTGTTTGAGTTAGCAATCTTTCGTAATTACCGCTTTCAGGAGAGAGATCGATAGGGGGGACTGGGGGACGAGAGAGTTGACAAAAGCCACTAGGTTCAGTCGACACGTAAGCCAGCTCAGTGATGCCATAGTCGCCCAAGTCTGAACAGTAACTCTGGTTCAGACCGTTACGGTCGGCCCAAAGCTGCTCTCCATGCTTGTTATGGCGCCGAGGTCTGCTGGAGTCGAACGGCAAGTCATGCGAGGAATCCACATGTCTCGACTTCACATGGGAAGACTTCTCCCAGTGCTTCAGGTTCTTCTTTTTGCTCTTGAAAGAAGGAACGAACGCAGCACCCAGATTCGACGGAACAGAAAGATCTTGAAAGGGAGGGGGAATTACATTTGGGGGCGGGCCCTGCTGGTAATATTGAGGAGAGGGAGCTGGCATCGGCATGGGATGCATCTGCGCCGGGGGCATGTTCGGGGTTCCGGGCTGGGAGTGGCCGGGCTGAGAATGGGCCAGAGCAGGGCTTCGGGCCGGCTGAGGCGAGTTCGGGTAGGGTTGCATGGGTCTTCCGGGGTGGAAGGCAGGCGGCATGCCGCCACGGCCCTGGCCGTTTCTGTACTGCTGTTGGTTCGGGGGGAATCCCATGTTGGCCTGGTACGGGGGCTGGTGAGGGTTGAAACCACGGCCACGGCCGCCCTGGGGCTGGAAACCTCCACGGCCCGGGCCTTGGTTAGGACCAGGGGCGTCGCTGTGCTGAGAAACGCCGGACTCGCGTCGGATGTGCTGGCCGGGCATCGCAGGAAGAGCGGCCTGGCTCTGGGGAGTAGAGGCTTGTCTCATGTGGCGCTGGGAAAAAAATTGCAAGTCAGTGTCACGAACGCAAGCAGGGTGTCCGAAGAGGCCGGGGCCGATATCACTTACATCGCCATCGCTTCCGAGACTGCCAAAGGTCATCGCGTTGGGCTGAGCCATGCCCGAAGGGGGACGGCCACCGCTAGCAGAGGGCTGAGGGATAGGAGAAGGAGAGTGCGCGGGAGAAGGCACTCTCTGGTTGGATCCAGGAATGGGGATCGGAGCAGCGGTAGCTTGAGGGGTGCTGTGCGCGACAGCAGGAGAGTTGTAGCCGAACTGAATGCCGGGCTTTGCACCACCGACGGGGCCGCCGTTGGGAGCGAAGCTGTTGGGGCCGTTGGCGCTGAGGGTAACGGAGCTCTTGCGAGCGTGATCGGGTGCGCTTCCGTTCATGTTGTTGGCGGAAGAGCCGTGAGCGACTGCAGGGGCAGCAGGCACAGCAGGTGTGATAGGAGGACGTCCATTTACTGGTGACGGAGCAGACGGCTTTGCATTTTGCGCAGAGGAGCCACCGACCACCACTGGTGGGTTGGATCCCGTCGCAATCAGCGGCGTGGAGGCTTGCTTCTTGTTCGCACCGGCAGCGGAAGCATATGAAGGAGCCGAAGTCGCAGCAGAGGGGGTGGGCGCCGGGTTGGACTGAGGGCTGGCAGTCGAAGTCATATGTGGAATCTCGTCGTAGCGCGTCTGTTCGTGGAGATAGTAGCGTTGATGAGGAACCGTGTCGAAACGAAGCTGACGTCGTCGGGTAGTTGTCCAAGATGCGGCAACTGGAACGATCGCTCGGGTGCCGAATCACAGATTCGATTTCGGGTACGGTTTTGGTGACGGATCGCAGAAATTCAATAAATGAATGACCGTGTCAAGAAGAACTCGAAGGAGAAAAAATTCCTCGCAAAAAGATGGATCGGATCGTTTCGGAGGTTGCGAAGTCGACTCGGTCCAAAAGGTGGATGCGGGAGGAGAGATTTTTTGTTGTTGCGGGTGAGTGCTCGTGGATTCCTTGACGGCAGGAAGGAAATATCGCTAGGCGATGGGGTGGAGAGGGGGGCAACAAGGTCTGTCTGCCTACGCAACGGGTCTTGGAAGAAACCAAATAAAGGTGTCCTTTGACCGGCGGGTACTGCAGAGGAGGGGAGAGTCGTCTTCTGAAGGGTGAGCTACAGAAGAAACTGTCGATACGGAAAGGGTCTCTCTGGTGAAGGAAAAATTATTCCACCTGGACCAGTTTCGGTGTTTGTGGTAGGTTTAGAAGGAGAAACGATCAAAAAAATTTTGGGCGACGAGATAATATGGCGTGGACCTGGGTGTGAGTGGGAGGGAAGGACCCAGGAAAAAGGTACATTGGGTTAAGTACCTCCTCATAAGCCCGCGCCGCGCCCACACCCGCCTCAGACCTTTTTCTCCATTCACTCGCCCGCCCTCGCCCTCTCGCCCTCACCCTCACCTTCCACAGACGAAAGTCTATTGCCAAATCAGTGATGAGGCCATCTTGGGCTCCATTCATTCACTGTTTATTTGAACAGATGATCGTACATCTATCTCATCTCACCATTTCTCCCGTGGGTGTTGGCATCAATTCACTGAAGCGAGACCTATCTTATTCACTCAGGCGAGGTGAACCACCCACGTTCCCTCCCGAGTCCCAACCTTTACGGGTATCCATACCCCAGTGAAGAAGGCCCCGACCCATCCTTTTTTGGCGGGATGACAGTGCGTTGCTAACCAAATCTCTCGCTTATCAACACGGTATCGGACCCGCAATTGCCACGCACAAAAGACAGTGTGGATTCCATTCGTGGAAGGGCCCTCTGATTTCAATTATCTTCTCATCCGTCACTTGCCTATCGCTCTCTCAGTCTGGCGGCATAAGGTAGGTAACCCTCTTGGTCGGGCAGCTTACGCGGGCAGCCATAGCATTATTCATCACCAAAGTAACATACTTTAAGGTAGTCAGGTAATATGGTAGCCATCAACAGGTTGGTGGTGAAGTTGAGGTACCGTCAGTAAAGAGCCATCTCATTCAGCCTCACTTCTTCAGCTTGCTTCGTACTCAGATGTATTTTGATTGCCGGACTGAGCCACACATGTTGTCTTTGTCTTGTGTTTCGAAGCCTAGGAAGGTGCATATCTAGGTAGTAAGGTATTCTTGGGTCAGCCTGTCTTGAGGGATTGATACCTGAGCAAGGCACCTTGGGCGGAGCAGGCACAAAGAGTGCACAAACAATGCCCAGCTGGCTGGCTGACTGGCTGCATCGCCCCTGCTTCCTTTCTCGTTTCTCATTTGCACGCAAGTCCACCATCGTCGAGAGATTTTGCAATATAGAGAATCGAAAAAAAGGTGAAAGAATAAGTTGAATAGCATATCCATGGTATCAAGGTCGCAACTCCGTATCAACATCTCGCCCTAATCATGATGCCATCCCAAGATAGCCTCACGTTGGCAGGTTTCCTAATCAGGGCCCTATTAGTGGAAGATGACTTGGAGAGTGCCCTGCGACTGTCGTCCCTCCGACGCGCCGGGTGTTAGGTCTGATTACTTGCATGCCTTTCCCCAACTTCCGGTTCTACCTGGGCCGGACTCAAGTCTCAAGCGTACCTTAGCTTGGGGTACTTGGAAATACAACGAGACTGATACAGACCACGGAAGGGCACGCACCACGTCAATTCCAGGTTATTTCCTCAGGTTGTCCTCACTCGCCGGCTGGGCTTGGATACGACACGGAGGAGTTACAGTGCCACAGTGCCACAGTGGTAGCAGATGTGGTTATTCATGGAGATGCTGGGGGCCAGACCCTTGTTCCTTCTACAATCTGGGCAGCAAACTCTGAGACCCTTTTCTGTCCTCCCCTTTTCTTTTTCTTTTTTTCCTTTGTCGTTTTTTTTTTTTTTGACCCCGTACGGATACTGCTCCTGAGTCCTGTCCTGCCCTCTCCACCTCTATCGGCATAGGGTCCTCTCACAGCAACGTCCAAAAGACCAACCTGCCTGCCCCAGAGACGCTGAATAAATCATCGTGAAACTCCGGTGTTCGGCACCTGGCGGCAGGCTGTGTGTGGAAGTGCGAGCTTTGCATGCCAACGGGTGGAGTCGAATAGGCCCTCCCGCCACATTCTTGGGAAGGTCAAAAGTCCTTGGAGTTTTCACGGCTGGAAATTGGAGAAAAGGGTGTTGAGTGAAAATGCCATTATCAGATGCCTAGGTCGGTTGATAGGCTCCCAGACAGCCGAACAACCAAGGTCCCTGACGGAGATGGCGCGACCCTCCAGTTGAGCTCCTTCCAGGTATCCGCGACTCATCCGTACCTTAGGTAAGGTAGGCAAGCACGCAGGTGGAAGGGTAGAGTTGGGTTTGCACTTGCACTTGCAAACTGCTTCACCCTCTTGCCATGCAACACTACTCTAGCAAGATGAGAGGTGTCCCGTTTGCTAGCTATCGGGGGGTTCCCATGTCAAACTCGCACTTGGCTGGGCCTCCGGCTGTAAAATGCACTTCAGATGTTCGTTCAGACCCAACCTAAGTGACGAGTACACCTGCATCACTACGCCATCAACCACACTAGCTGGCCATCAGCTACTTCTGCAACATGCAGCTCTGGCGCCTGCTGTGACGGTACTGGCTGTACATATAACAAAACACACATATATGCAATACCCGCGAACACGGTCAACGCGATCTCTGGCACTCTCTCTTTCTCCCACTCTTCCTATCAAAAAGGCGCAATAGTGGCCACGACTATTGGAAGCTTCTGCAGCCGTGCCTCGAGATAACCCGCGTACCTGACCCGGCAACCCGTAACGAAGCCTTCCATCTTCCTTCCTCCTAATTACCTTCTACATATTCAAACATTGATTCCGTGCAACTTCAACAATCCCTCCTACAAAGAGAAGGGGGAAATTTGATTTGGTTCTGAACGTCGGTTTCAAACAGCGACCCCGGTCTCCCGAACAAGGAGCCAGAACACAAAAGACGAGCAAGGCTGGACAAGGGACACCCCAAACATCCCTACCCTGCCCGAGCTCGCACCCCTGCAGTTTCCCTGGCGTCAGAGAGAGGCTAACACGTGCGTTTTGTCCTTTTTCTTTTTTTTCCCCTCCTTCTCCCCCCCAATGACTAGTGTGCTCTTTTGCAATGCCGTACTTCCCATGAAGGCTGTATCAACTCAGGAACTGCTGCTGCTGTTATCAGCGCCAGAGAGTGAATCATGCCTCAACTTCCTAGGTCCTGATGCTAGGTACAGAGACAACAGCTCATTTCACTCGTCTTATTCGTGCAACAGCACGGCAAGGTGCAGGTGATTTTTTTTTCTCTTCCAATAGAGTTGCCACTACGAATCAGTGCGGCAGAATCCAACACCACTCTGGACGAGGCGAACGTTCCCGCTCCCTCGGAAACCCAGCCAACCAGTCACTTCGTTTTCAGTCGGCGGCATCGCCTCCGGTGTCTTAAGTCCGATGAATGAGAAGCTCCTTTTGCGTACAGCTGTCCACAGCAGGGACGATAATTCGCAAGTCAGCTCACTGCAGGTAACATGAACTTTCCCATTCAGTGTATCCAGTATTGCAGACACACAAAGACTCATCAGCATCGCTTTGACCCTCCTCTGGTGAGTCGACAGCTTCCTAGTTGAAGGTGTGTGACTGTGACAACCCCAGCACCGTCAGGCGGATCGGCATCTCTTTTCCCATCAATCACCCATCGCACGCGTCAACGCGCAAAACAGCGCGGGTACCGGGTATGGGCTAAATGGCAATGCGCATCGCTCAATGGGATTAGATGACATGGGCACGATGGGATATCCGGGGGCCCGAAATGTGCCCTTGTCGGCCTCAATGCCCCCGTCAATGTCTTACGTGGGATCTGCGAGTCTCTCACTTTGGTTGAGGTGGTTCCCCCGATTCGCTTAGTAAACCTGGAAGAGAACACCATCTTTACACCAAGTTTTATTGGGCCTCCAACGCCGAGAGAACAGGCGAAGCAGACTTCCTTATTGCTTGCTTCTAACACTACTGGCCACAACGAATAAGCAAACCACTTTGCGGTACGCCTCCGTGGACGAAATCGGCACTGAGTGTATGCTACCTCATTCTATAAATTAATAGGGGGTTTGCGACGCGGGAACAGGAGTCGTCTGGAAATGGGAAGGTCTAGAACAGGGACAAAGTGACTTCATCGGCAGCCTCATTCCTCCCTTTAATTGATTGCATGGCATGGCGTGGCGCGAACATGGGTGCGCGTCGTGTCATCGACCTTGAGTTTTCTCTCACCCGACCCTTCTGGCCACTCCCATGGCCTTCAGAAAACTTGTCTTCAATACAAATACCTGCAAAACGGCAGGCTTGCTAATCACTGGCATTTCTCAGCTTAGCTCTTCCATCAGCCACAATTAGGAAAAATGTTGGACCAAAGAGAAAAAAAAGCGGCAACAAGCGCGCGTCTCAGACGCGTCGTCGCTCTAATTGATTGGGCTTCATTCAAATAGGTAGCCAGCTTTGGACGTCAGACCAGGTAGAAGAAAAGAGGGGGGGCGCGCCGTCGCCGCGGCTTGTAAGCCGTTCTTACCGTACAGACCTAAGGCGAACGAAGACAAGCCTCCGTAAGTGAGACGGGGAAGTCACAGGTGAAGCTTGAGGGTGAGAGAAATGAGGTTGCTCGCGGAGCCCAGTGCCTGAATGTTGCCCAATATCCGAATTTCCAATTTACAAGCTTCCGTCACCCGTGCTTCCCCTAGGCCCCTTCGTCTAATTCTTTCCCTACTCTCCCATTCAGGCGGAAGAAGAGTCTGATCTTCCCCCGAGCTGCAAGTGGACTCTTTTCGGTCTCTACGGTCCAAGATGGGGGCAGCGCGAGCGCGCTAACGGACGGGAGCACTATGTTAGGGGTGGGTAGGAGAGAGCTGTTCTTCCGTCACAGCAAGCAAGCTTGGGGCGATGCTCGTGCTTTTTCTTGTGACTTGTGTTGCCTTGGTTGCGCTGTCCTAATTGCCAGCCAGTCACTCACCCAGTCCAGTCCAGTCATTCTACTTCCTCTGGGCTTCATCTTCCTCTCTCTCTGGTGCATGGCATGGCACTGATGCCTGGTCATCGTAACGCTCTGTATGCCAGTTGCCACACCATTTCGTTAGACTTTTCCCTTTCCTCCGCTTGGCTAACCTCGCCTTGCTACCAAACCCAGTGGCCAAGTCTCGGTATCATGACACGCAGATTCACAAAAGGGCAGAACACCTCACACGTTTGACTC